CTTTTGTAAGAGTATATACTTATAAATATTTAAGATTTCGATTGTTAGTAAGATGTTTAATCAATTGTGATCGAGACTCTATAATATTTTTCCAAAATATTTTTAGAAAATTATGGTATTCCGAATCCGTTCTTTATATAGTTAAGTTAAATTTTAATACAATTAGCAAAGTTTTAGTAATAAGAACTCCCCCCACCCCCATCAATTGAATAAATTGATTTTAAATAAAATTAAATGAATTATTTGTTCAGTTTCCAGCTTTGAAAGCATAATATTCTTGAACTGAGTTTATTTTCAATTCAATTTTATTTAAACAACTGATCGTAAAAATAATAATGATATTGATAGTAATGACAATAATCATGATGATGATGATGATGATAATGATTATTTTAATGATAATAATAGTTTACTTAAAAATTGTTCATTATCCTGTTTTTAATTTTACAAACAAGCAAGTAAGTAAACCAAACAAACAAAATATAAAAAAAAGCAAAAAAAACCATATAGAAATTTGTTCTTGTTTTGTTTTTTTTTTTTTGTTTTGTACTTGAAAACCATTTTTTCTATTGAATAGAATTTCCTTTCGCATTTTTATTTGTAAATAAAATGCAACTATAAAAAAAAATTAAAATAAAAAAAAAACCAAAAGAATTCAACTGCAACAGCAGCATTAACAACAGAACCTATTCACTTGCTTGTTAAAAAAAAAAAATCAAAAAAAAAAAAAAAAATTAAAAACAAACCAGCATGTCATCTTCTTCTCAAAAGATGCTGCAACAATGATGATTGTGCTGCTGCTGATGATGATGATGTGAAAAAAATAAACAAAAATTGTGAAAGAAATCTAAACAGCAACAAAACTCTGTTTTAAAACCTTTTTCCTATCTTATTTCATTCTTTCTATTTAATATTTTGATCTGCGTTCATCCGCTTGTATGCCCTCCAATGTTGATGTTCTCTTGTATATACACACAATTTCAGTACATTATTATTGTATAGCACTATTATAATTGTTGTAGCAACAAAATGCATTGTTATCACGAATACTTTTATTTTTCTTATTTTTATTTTTCTTAACTTATAAAAACTCATCTTTATAAATATTTTGTTTCTTTGACAATTACTTTTTTATTTTATATTAATATTGTTTGTTTGTTTGTTTGTATTTAATAACAGATCTTGAGGAAAAAAATAAAGAAAAAAAAATTGTACTTGTCTTTTAATCCTCCAATCTGACGATTCATTAGCAATGCAATTGAAAAGGAAACGAAAATATTCCCGTGTACAATATGTATATGCTACGCGTATATGTATGTATATTATATAGGATACAATGGCTTTATAGAGCCTGAAAAACCAAAAATTAAAGGAAAATACGAAAAACAACCAATAATAAAATGTTTAGTTATAGAAGAACAGGTTCACTTGTTCACCTAGGTTCAAATAAAGATAAGTATATAAATATGTATGTATTTATATATGAGTATATTCATTGTACAAAGTGTTGACTTTGAGTCATAAATATTAAAGAGTTTCGTTAAACTAGCTCTCGTGATTGAAAATTAAAATTATTGTATAGATACTAATTTCGTTTTGACTTTCGAGAATTTTCACTTGTTTTGAAAATTTTCGCTTGTTCCAATAATTCCACTTGTTTCAAAATTTTCATTTGTTCCAAAATTTCTTTTCTTTTTTTGGTAATATACTTCTTAACAACATTCAAGCTTATTCAAAATTCCAATTATCAAATTGTGTTCTCTGTATCGGAGTTTTATTTTATTCAGTTGATTTTATCATATTTTAAGCTACAATTTGTTGTGTTGCTGGATTTTGTAAATTTATTTAATTTAACTTCTATAAAAACTAGTTTTTCTTTAAAAATATTGGAAAATATTGGAAGATTTTTAAAAAAATTATTGAAATTAAATTATTGAAGCACGTAAGCTCATAATTCTCCTAAATGTATTGAAAAAAATTCATCATTAATCCAATCTCAATCCAGAGTATCCACCTTAAATGGAACATCCTGTATAGCTACAATAAAATAATAATAAAATTTTAATAAATAGAATTTGAGGTTTTTGCGGTATTATTTATTTTTTTTTTAACAAATAGGTAAGAAGGTTTTTTGTTTTTTTTCAATTCATGATAATTACATTTTGAGTACTTAAAGATGAAAAGGATTCCCTTAAATCTTAATACATGAATGAATAAACAAAGTCATTTTAAAAAATATAAAGGAATGCTTTAATATTATGAAGAAATCAAGAAAATTATGTTGACTTTTTAATTGAGAAAACTTGATTTATGATTATTACATGATGACTTAATAAATTTTATTATTATTGTATATTATATATACACATATACACTCATATATAGAGTTTAGCCTGCTGAAATCTCTTTAAAAATTTAAATAACACTCTTGAAGAAAAATCTTAAGTGTACCTTTTAAATGAAGGTCAAAAAGTCAAGTAGAAACAAAAATTGCTTTATTTTCAATTTTTCTTTTCTTTTGTAGAATGTATTCAAACGTTCTAGTTTAAGGAAGGTGAAATAGGTTAATCAAAGCATGATTGAAAAGAAGGGATTAATCATATGGAAAGATAGTTAAGATGTTAACAAAATAATTACAATATGATTTAAAATTACAAGACGTTTAGGATTAATAGGTAGCTGAGTTGTTATAAGTTATAGTATAAAAGCTTTAGAATAATAAATTGAGATTGGATATTCTCTCTTTTATTAAATTATCTTTTTAGACTTTCTTATGAATTAAGACTGCATTATACTCTTAACAATACGAGCTTTGAACAAAACATTAGTTATATAATACATGCATAATAATTTAAAGCACCGTAATTCGGGCAGTTTTTACTGATAATTTTCGAGTTGTCAATAATTCGGACAGTTTTCGGATGTTTTCGGCTGTCAAAAAAAACTCGAATAAAGTTGTTATATTTTGTACCTTTGGGGATTATAATTCAATTGTTAACAGATATGTATACCAGGTATATTTAATTTTTTTCTACAATTAAAACATCTTAATTTAAATTTCAAAAATAAAATTTAACAAATACATACGAGTACTTACATAATATTTATGTATGTACAAAAAATTTAAATGATTTTCTTTATTAACTGCAAAATTTCTAAACAATTTTAATTTTTTTTTCAAAAGAGAAACCCAAAGAAATAAATTTAAACAGAACAAATTTTTTATATTCCATTTAATCAAAACAAATCCGAAAATACTAAAACTATACTAAATGTATATAAATTTAAAACATAAACCTAAAACAGAAGAAGTAACGGAGGTGGAAGTTCATTCACAAATAAATATCTATATAATTATGTAAAATAAACATAATTACATGTATACAAATTTAATGAACATTTTTAAAAAATGAAATGTAAACAAAAAAAAACCCTACATCTGTATAACACTTTTAAAAATATAAAATGAATGAAAGTTCTTTTCGTATAATTACTCTAAAAAACAAAGAAATCATTAACATCTGGAGTCTGGACGATAAAATTTTTTTAACATATTCGTAACTTTAAACATATACCAATATATATAAAAATCGATAAATTTCATATAGTTTTTTGAAAGTGAAAGCACAGAGTAACTTGTCTTTGCTTTATAACATCTAAATTAGCCGTATAACCATTTTATTACTATACACTATGTCAATAAAATAGGTGCTAATAAAGAAATAGCCTACCACTAAGTCATTTATTGTATACAATACCATAATATATTGTATATTATATATTTTATTGTATATGTACCGTTCCAAGTGAAGTTGACAAGAGTTGTGTTAAACTTTACTAACAAAAAAAAATTATATTAACCCTTACTTGCTCGTAAACTTTATAGCTTTCAGAGCCTTGAGTATAGGAATATGAACTATAACAATACTAGTTCATACAATCACAAATCCAACACTATCATAACTACTACATATTACTATTACATAATTGTTATACATAACATTATGCGTGTTACCGCCTTCATGAAATTCAATCAAATACTATTCAATATTCTTCAAGAAAAAAATTAAATTTTCAATATTTTTCTATGTTTCCAGGAAAATAAAAATTTAATTTTTTTACTTTTGCAACATTTTTGTACAAATTTCTAAATTGAAATTTGAATTAATTACCATATTCATACATTTATATACATTAAAATTTATACCAAAAAAATAAAATAAAAATTTATCTGGTTCAATAATTCTTTAGCATATTTTTACGCACTTGAATATCTAATTTTAGATCAATGAATTTGATTAAGAAAAATACTGATAAATAAATTCAAATAATAACACCATTTTGATTTTAACCATAGTTCAAAATTTAGATTTAAATATTGTACATTATACATACATAGTTACTAAAACAAAGCTAAGTAAATCCAATAAAAACCAAAATCTCCATAAGGGCATCATCACTACACAGCACCTTAAAAAATTTCAAACAAAAATGAAAACAAAAAAGAAAATCTAACCTCAGATCCCAACTCTTTTATGATGAATACACTACATAATATTCTAAAAATGGATATCGTATAGATATCAAATAAACAGCACATGTACGTAAATCTACACTTCATAAAACTAAATCACATCTGTGTTACAAATACTTGTAAAGAAAAAAACGGATTCCAAACTCTTTTTTTTTCTAAAATTTATTTATAGCCTAAAATTATTTTCACAATAAGAAAATAAAAAATTTTTGTAAAATGATCAATAAAAAATCGAAATTTATACGTTTTCCATAGAGCGTTTAAAATCGACTAATACCATGTACTCGTACTGTAATACTTACAAACATGCGTGCAATGCCCCTTTTCCTCTTCTACGATTGGTGTGCAAACAGAGTAAATATTGAATTTTCATTCGAATAACAAACCAAAAAAAAAAAAATATTTACTTCACATTTTATTAATTTTATTTTAATTTTTGAAATTTTTTTTTCTCACCTATTTTTAGACAAACATTTGATAAAATAAATGAAATAATAATTAAAAATTTTGGAATTAATGATGCAGCTGTATATTCATGTCGTCCAGATGCAGTATTTAATCAATGGTCAAATTTATCATTAAATATTTTAACAACAATGGTAACACCAAATTCAAAAATCGATACAAAATTATATACAATCGATTCAAATATACAAAATGATCAACAACAATCACAATTAGATAATGATGATGATGAATTATATCAAAATCCTAATAATAATGATTTAAATGATACGGAAACTGATCAAAATATTAATGATGATTATAATAATAATAATAGTGATGAAGAATCAAAAGAGAAAGTAACACTTGCACTACCTGTTTTCAAAATTAATGATGATATTTATGAAAGATTAATAATAAAACCATCTGGTAGTACTGTAATTATAAAATGTCAAATAACTGATACAAAAGATGCAAATATAACATGGACAAAAGATGGTGGACAAATTGATCGTAAAATGGGACGTGCAAATTATAAAAAATGGAGTGTATCTATGGAAGATGGTATACCAGAAGATTCTGGAAATTATAAATGTACTGTATGTAATTTAGCAGGATGTATTGAACGTACAACAAAAGTTCAAATTCAAGGTAAATATTAATAAGTGTAGAGCGTAATTATTGCCAAAGAAATCATATTATTATTCTATGACAATAAAAATCTCCAAAATTACCATAAAATTTTAAGAAATATTTTTGACCAATATAATATATTAAACTTTCTTTAATCGATATAACAACAATTATATAAAATATAGACCGAGTACGTTCTGGACCAATGATAGCACCGAACTCCCCAGTAAATGTAACTGCATTAGAAAATTCAACTGTTACATTCAATTGTCCAATAATGTTTCCTGATTTAGCTGTTCATATCGATTGGTTACATCATATACCAAATAATGAATCATCTGATTCTATAAGTAATTTACAAGAAATGGCACAACGTTTTGTTAAAGAAATATCACAATTTCGCCATGGAAATACAAAAAAAAATTTCTCTCAAATTCGTTTATTGAAGGTATTTCTTAAATGATTATCTTTAATATCTCTTAAACGATTAATTTTTAACTGGCCATAGGAGTAAATTGAATTATTTTATTAAGATGGCAATTCTTGCTTTGTACAAACTTTTGGTTTCGGATAATATAGTAATATGACAAGTTCATTAAAAGTTCTTAAATTCAGTGGTGCATAACGTTTTTTAATATAACAAATGATTTAATTTCAATAGTACAACCTATGAAATATTTTAGTTCTTCTGGACAATGGTAAAATGTAAACAATAATTTTTCCAAGATCTCTGGTGAAGAGGTGATCTAATTCTAAAAGCTTCTAAAAAGTACATATTTCTATAAACATGAACTTAGTTATTAATTAATTAATTAATAATTAAAATAATAAAAATTAATTTGGTGTTGGTACATAAAAAATAATTTATTATTAAAATTTCTTTTATAATTTAATTTCAATTTTTTTTTATAGATCGTGTAAATCATAAACCAATTGTAGTTAAAGAACCAAAAAATGTTACTTTATATGTTGGTGGTTCTGATACAATGGAATGTAAATTTTATTCAGATTTATTTAGTAAAACATATTGGGTATATAATAAAAAAGAAATAAAAGAAGGAAAATATTTAAATCAAACTGTTAAGGTGATGGGAACTTTTAACCCTTATTTTATAACTAATTTTACATTAAAAAAAATTATAAATGTAACATTATAGTATGCAAATGTAACATGTAAAATTAAATTAATTCGGTAAATTAATTGTAAATAAGTTATTAATTAATTCAAACACTTAAATTTTTAATTACACTAACAAATACTTTAAATAACATTAAATATAATTTTAATTGTAAAATCTTAGTAACTTAACAATTTAGCATATTTGTTGCATGTAATTTGTTGTTATAAGAAAAACTAACAATTATTTTTAAATAATTTCTACTACATAATTATATTTATTTATTTAAATAATATTTCAGAAAAATATGAACAATTAATTTTGAATTAGTTGGAAAATCTAAAATTTGAAAATCTAAAATGAATATATGTTATGAGCAGAAATTTAAGTTTAATATTATGAATTTAATATTAAAGTCTAAAAGTTGGAAAAGTTCTGGAATTATTTTCTGGCTTTCACTTCTTTTCTAAATCCTAACTCAAAATTAACTGTTCTTTATTTTGATATTATTATAATTTAATTTAATTAGAAAATTTTTATGTTTTGTTCTAAACTTGTTATTTTATTTGGAAAATAATTTAGAATCTTACTGCTTAATAGTGTTAAAAAAATAAAATCCTAAATTATTTACAAAATATTTAGGTTGATCCAGATAAACCAGAAACTTTAATAATTACAAATGTTACACATGAAGATGAAGGTTGGTATACTTGTTCAGCGGCAAATAGTTTAGGACATACATTAGCCAGTGCTTATTTAAGAGTTATTGATGAAGGTAAAATTAGAATTTATTTTTGGAAAAATTTTACAGAAATCAAAAAAATCAATTATTTTCTTTCTTATTTTAGAAGAAATTGAATTAGATCAACCACATCCATTAAAAAGATATTCATTATATGTAACATTAATTAAAATTGGTATCGGTTTATGTTTTCTATTTGGAATAATATTTATATTAACAATTATAAGAAAAATGAAACATGATAAAATTATAAAACATCGTGTTAATGCTGTACAACAATGGACAAAAAAAGTTATCATTTATAAACCGAATTCTGATTTGGGTAGTGCAGAAACAATTGTTATGCCAGTTATTAAAATTGAAAAACAACATGTTACACAATTACAAAGTGGGCCAGATTTTAAACCATGTAATGAATATGAATTTCCATTAGATGCACATTGGGAAATACCAAGAAATCAATTGGTATTAGACAAATTATTGGGTGAAGGTGAATTTGGTCGTGTTAGACGTGGTAAATTAAGTGGTTTATCGAAATCATCAAATGATTTAATTGTTGCTGTTAAAATGGTTAAAGAAAGTCATGGTGATGCTGATATTGCAAGTTTAGTACGTGAAATGGAAGTTATGAAAATGATTGGTAATCATATTAATATTATTAATTTAATTGGTTGCTGTAGTCAAGATGGACCATTATATGTTATTGTTGAATATGCACCATATGGAAGTTTAAAAGATTTTCTAAAATCAAATCGTCCAAAATCACAAATTCAAACACAAACATTTAACAATAATGAAACAACTGATTTAATGTTAAAAGAAAAGGATGAAGATCGAGTACATTTTACACAAAAAGATTTAATATCATTTGCATTTCAAATAGCTCGTGGTATGGAATATTTAGCATCAAGAAAAGTGAGTAAAATATTAAGAAATAGTTTCATGGTGACATTGTGCTTGTATTATAATATAATCTTAATTTTTTTAGTGCATACATAGAGATGTAGCTGCAAGAAATGTACTTGTTAGTGATGATTACGTTATGAAAATTTGTGATTTTGGATTAGCAAGAGATATTCATGACACAGACTATTACAGGAAAAATACAAATAGTAAACTACCAATAAAATGGATGGCTCCTGAATCATTACAAGAGAAATTTTATGACACACAAAGCGATGTGTAAGTTATTTTTATATATTACTTCTTTAATTCATTCTCTAATACTTATTTCTGTATTATTAAATTTTTATTCAGATGGTCATATGGTGTCTTATTGTGGGAAATATTCACATATGCTGAGCAACCAATGGCTCACGTTGCACCGGAACGTGTTTATTCCTATTTAAAATTAGGTCATCGTATGGAACGGCCACCAAATTGTTCATTAAATATGTGAGTTTTCAAGAGTTTCAAATAATTTTTTTTTCTTTGTTACTATAGTATTTAAGACCTAAGCTGTTTCGGATTATTCGTAGAATTTTACTTTCAATAAATTCGCATTATTAAAATAATTATTTTTTAAATTTACGTACTGTAAAACTTACAAGTTATAATTACATTTTTTTTTAATTTTTATTGTAGTTATATGTTAATGAGGCAATGTTGGAATTTTGATGCACACGCACGTCCATCATTTAGTGAAATTGTAGAGAATTTAGATCAAATTCTAACAGTAACAGCTAATGCAAATGAAGAATATTTAGATTTAGGTGTACCATTATTAGAAACACCACCATCTAGCGATGATGAACATGAATCAGAAAATTCAGATACATTACGAGAAAATTTAATGCGATATAAAAATTATTAATTGTAAAATGTTGATTTTTTTTTTGTATTATTAATAAAATATATCATTATTTAAATGAATAGAGACTAGAGATAGTATTATATAACAGATAAGAATTTTAAAATTTCTAATTAAATATGAAAATATTTCATATAAAGTATACTAATGTTTCTATAATATTATTTTATTCGTTAATAATAAAAGAAAATGTTAATTTTAAAAAAAGAAAATTATTTTTAAATAGAAATAAATTATTTTATTATTATTTATAATTTTTATAAATAGTTATTGTAAATATCTTGTTTTTTTTCGTTTAATAACGAAATAAATAAAATCTTGTAAATTAAATTAAACAAAATAAATTAAAATTCATTTAAATAATTTAAATACAAAATTCGTCGCATTTATACATAAAAAATAATTTAAAATAAACAACGAGAATAACACTTTTATTTGTTTTATATTAAAATTTGCAAAAACGAAATTACAAATGAAATTTTATAAAAAGTTTTTTTTTTTATGAGCGCAAAACTCATAGCACTCATATAGGTTTGTAATAATAGTAATAGAATTAAATAAATTGATAAATTAAAAATCTTTAAAATATATTGTATACAAAAGGCATTTTAAAAGCTGCAATCAACTCTTCATCCAATTCTTCACTAAACATAGAACTCAACTTTATTGCAGAAAACCTTACAGTACTCCTTAATTTGTGAATCCACCTGTTAATTTTGATATCAAAAATCTATTCAATATTTTAATTAATTTAAAATTTATAATATTTATACACAAAACATTTTATATAAATTTTGAAATTAAAAATGAAATATGTTAAAATTTTGCTCAAAGATTATTTTCAGAATATTAGAAACGAGAAACTGAATTATAACATGTGTGTCATAATTTAATTTTAATTAAGATAAATTAAAAAAAAAATAATTAAAAATTTAATTTACAATATTAAATTTTGTTTTTTTTTTTGTTCGTTAAACGAAATCCTAACAAAACGAATTAATGATAATTTAATACAAATCAAGTTACTAATAAAAACGACAATAACAAAAATTTTACATCAATTGTAAATATTTTTTTATGATTTCTTTAAATTTATCAATATTATGTAAAAGAAATGAATTAACATTATTAATATATTATTTCTTTTGAATTGTATTTTTGAATTATTTTCAAAAATAATAAAAAAAAAATTTCAAAAAATCTACATGAAAAGCAAATACTTTTTCAAACGAGTTAAAAGCGATAAAAAATCGTATCTTTCCATTTTATGTTCCTTCAATGAATCGATTACGTATATATAAACAACGAATTTTGAACAATAATTTTATTATAATATATAAAAAAAATTAATTTTTATATTTGTAGATTTAATTTCAAATTATATAAAGAAAAAAAATTAAAATAACTCGATTATTTGTAGTGCAACTAACAAAATGCAATATTTAAAATATTGCATGAAATAAAATATTTAAGACTTTTTAGTGTAAGAGCATAAACTAAATGAATTTTTTAAGTAATAAACGCAAAATAATTAAGATAATATTATATATGTAAATTTTTATATAATACATTTATATATATTAATTTTAAATAATATTCATTACAAAAATTCAAATATACATTCATCATAATTCATTCATTCATGTTAAATATATATTTTAAGCACTGATATATTTTATAAATTTATAGTGAGAAAGAAAAAATTATTGTAGGTCTATACAAAATGAACTGTACAATTCTTATTTTAAATAGTTATTTAAAAAATATATATATACATATATAAATAATATTATATAAATTGTATGCAATAATATAAGAAAAGATAAAATGTTTCAAAAATTTAATCATCACAAATCATTTAAATACGAATAAATAAAGTTAATTATGATAAATTAAAATAAAAAATTATTTTAATTTCTTAATTTATTCATTAAAATACAGTTTCAATAATTGACAGCCTTTAAAATTAGTTTCAGGCGTTATGTTTTGGGATTGCAAATCATGCTGAATAGAAACGAAATATTGTGAGTATACAAATGCTTAAAATATTTACATTTTTCTGAAATCGCAAAAACTTCTTAGGGCATTAAACTAATGTATCACACGAATTTCTGAAATTTAATAGGCGTATTGATTAACAATTTTTGTACACTGTCTTCGCTGTGCCGAACTCACGAATTTGCAAAATTATCTTAATCGAACTAATATTAAAGCAATATTAATGTACATAAGCTTTTCATTCTAGTATTTGTATCCTTGCAAAGCCAAACCGTAGTTATAGGCATTTTGAAATTGCTCGAAAGTGCATACCTTTTAAATGATAAATTGCAACTACAATATCGCTAATTCGTAAGTTTTCTACGTTTGAGTAATAAAATTATAAGTAATGAGTAATAATATTCTATATAATAATAACTTACATATAAAGCGTAACATACGTAATTTTACGTGAATATAAATAAATATTAAATTCACACAAATTAAAAAATATCTTGCAATTGAATTTATTAAATTTTTATCTAGCTAAATAAACAGTTATACAAAATTCAAAATTACTAACGTAAAATATTTCCGTTTAAATAAAACATTTTTTCGGTGCGTAACTTTGCTTACAGAAATTTCAAAATGAGTACAAAAAATTATCCAAGACTATAACCAATTTGAATAAAATTTGGTAAAGAAAAAAAAGACAAAACACCAAGTTACAATGACGTCACCAATCATCTGTTTTCTGTATACCGCACTTGACATTTCAAGGTAAATCAAAAAAAAAATTCCATCATATTTCACTCATTTTTATTTTGGTTTTAATTTTGGCTGCTGAATGCTGAAGAAAGAAGGGACAAATGTGAAATTAATTAATCTAAGGAAAAAAACCTATAAAAATAAAACAAAAATTTTTTATTATAATTTTTTTTTAATCATATAACAACAAAAAATGGATGCCTTAAATGATACATCACCGGAAAGTAAGAAAAATAAAATTTAAAAAAAAAATTTTATGTGCATATGTAACAATTTTCTTTTCCATTTAAAAGTTCTTTTAGAACGTCCTGGTAATCCGTTCGATAATAAATTAATTCGTCGTCAGATTAGCATGAAAAGACAAGCAGTAGCTAAATCAAGAAGTGCCCAGGATATTCGTAAATTTGGAAAAGTCAGTACCCTTATACCTGTACAGATACCAATATAGCGCTATACCTATCCTACATATCTACACACATAATATAACCAATATAAATTCATATAAGGCTATATTATGACGCAATGTTTTTTGAGAAATTTTAATTTTTTTAATTTTAATTTTAGACTTACATAGTTATTGCATTTTCGGAAAAAGCTAAAATAATGAAATGTCAGGATATAGAGAAAATTATTCAAGAATTCGGTATGACTACATATCTTGAGCAAGTAAGGTAAGCATAAATTTGTAATAAATAATGGGTAAACAAACTTATACATATGTACGAGTATGTTTTTATTTCGTTTTTATATATGAACATATTATAAACTGAAAACTGTTGAACTATCTGTAGCAAGTTTACACATATTTCTGTTTATTATTATTGTTTGTGTATTTTCTATCGTAAGCAACTTCATATTAGTAGCTATTAAAATGAATATATTAAAAAAACACTTAATGTATCCATTTAAAAAATTAATGTTTTAAACATAAACACATAAAAATTTAATAACAAAGAAAAATACTATAGCAATTAATATAAATATTTGTGCATACCTTCTGTACATCAATCATAATAGTAGATTAAACATTAGAAAATTTTTATAAAACATATTTCTAATATATTTTTAGTAAATACGAAAAATATCTTTATATTTCGGCGCCAACCGATGTCTTATTAAAATTAGCTGATGAAAATGAATTAATGAAAAAAACAATAACTGGAACAATGCAAAAATTTAGTTACTACAGCAAATCAGATTTTTTAATAGATGGTCTAACCGAAGAAACATTACTTAGAAATAGTGAAATTCCCGTCCTGATCAAAAACGCCATAAAACCATCACTTAAGCCATATATTCGCAATGGAATTATTGAACATTTTTTTGCATTGCACGATTTGGTATTTATAGATATTTTTTTTTAATTATTATTATATATGTTTTATTAAATTTTTTAGGAATACTTAGATAAATTTTGTATTGAAATTGGTAAACGATTACCAATTCAAGATATACGTAACTACTTTGGGACAACGATTGGATTATATTTCGCATTTATTGAATTTTATACAAAGGCTTTGTTACTTCCAACAATTTTTGGTATTTTTCAATACATATTCAATTTTAATTTAGCCACAGTTTGTGGTTTTTATGTATTATGGACAACAGTAAATTGAAATTCATATAAAAATATTAATTTTTATATAATCAGTTTATTTTTGTAGGTATTCTCAGAATTATGGAAAAGAAAATGTTCTGGATTAGCATATCGATGGGGTACTATTGAAATGACGAGCTTAGATAGACCAAGATCAGCATATTATGGTGATTTGAAACCCGATCCAATTACAGGGAAATTAACATTACAATATCCTATCGCATATACATATTTACAAATGTATTGTATTTCATATCCAGTAGTATTTGTATGTGTAATATTAGCAGCTTATTTCGCTCTTTATCAATTTCAAATTGAAGCGGAGGTTTTACATGATTTTGGTATTATTTTAATATTATAATAATATATCTGATTATTGTCTAGCAATCATTTAAATTTTTAGGTCCTGATTCGTGGCTGAATTATGTACCAGTAATTGTACAATCAATGTTGATTGCAATTTTCTCATGGGCATATGAAAAACTTGCGACTTTTTTAACAGATCAAGAAAATCATAGAACAAGAAGTCAATATGACAGACATCGTGTTACAAAATTAATGATTTTTGAAATTGTTAATAATTTCTTCTCATTATTTTATATAGCTTTTGTTCTTCAGGACTTAGTGCAATTGAAATATCAATTGATGATGCAATTAATAATATTTCAGGTATCAGGCATAAAAAATATTTTCACTTCAAAATTTAAAATTTAATTAATATTTTTCTAGCTCGTTCAAATTTTTCAAGAATTGGGTTTCCCCTTAATAGCTGTTATTAAACAAAAATATACAAAATTTACTAAAAATGACACAAACATTGAACGTAATGTTGAAAATTTATTAGATCCAGTGCTCTATGAGCAAATTTATTTTGAAACTGCCTTAGATGAATATCAAAGTACATATGAAGACTATTTGCAGATTACAACACAATTTGGTTATGTTGTATTATTTGCGGCCGTAGCTCCATTTGCTGCCTTAGGTGCCTTAATAAATAATGTTGCTGCGATGTATATTGACATATATAAGGTAAATTCATTATTCACATAAAAAAAGAAATAAATTTTTAATTTTTATATAATTTTAGCTTATATATATTTATAAACGTCCATTTGCTAGACGTGCCAAAAATATTGGTGCTTGGCAAGTAGCCTTAGATTTATTATCTGTGATGGCTTTATTAAGTAATTGTGGTATTCTTTATTTACAACCAAATGTTAGAGATTTTGTTGATAATTTATTTCCAAATATTCAAACATTATCATTTGTTATATTTGAACATTTTCTTTTGGGTGTAAAATATTGTATACATAAAATAATACATGAAAAACCAAGATGGGTTCGTATTGCAATGGCTAAAAGTGCTTATGAGTCAGCTGAAGCCTTGAAAAATTTAAGGTAATTAGCTTTTATATTAAATTTTCTTTTTGAATTCATATTATAAATTCATATTTAATTGATATTATTCTTTTTAGAAAAATGAAAAGTGATTAATCTTTTATTTCTCAAGAAACGGACTTTTTAACTTTTGTATCCTATTTTCAAAAAAAAAAAAAAAAAAATCGTGAATCCTATTTAATCTTTGTTTTTCGTCAGTTTGTAAAGTGTCTTAAAACATTAAATGTTATACACATTTATATAAAATTTAAGTATTTAAGCCAAACTATTATAGTACTACTAATTTATTATGTATTTTTGTAATTTATTTTTATGTCCTTAGTAATTGTTCTTTATATTTTCTACTTTAAACAATTTGGTTGTGATTAACTCATTATTACATTATTGAAACTTTGCGTATTTTTATATCATTAATTGTTTAAAGCCAAATAAGTTTGGTCATCCATACTGCTTTTTTTTTATATAAAAACCAAAAGTTTAATGGTTAATTTTTAAGTAAATTAATATGTAATATGATTATTTTTCAGACAAAAAGCATTTGCACTGAAAAACATTTAAAAATGTAAAAAACTTTGCTGATGATAAAGGAATCTCCTCAATTGAATCTTAAAATTTATTAAAAGAAATGGTAACAAATGCTTAATATGTAATTGTTAAATAAAACATTTAAAAAAGAACTTAATGACTAAGAAGTTTTAATTACTTGTGATACAAATTAAACTAAATATTTGATTAAATAAAATAGTAGAGTAAGAAGATAGGAATTTTTGAAGAATACATTATAATAAGAACTATACTTATCCTTACCGAAGATAAAACTTGATTTTTCAATTCTATTGAAATATAAAAATAAATTTAGCCTTATGCTTATTTATCGTATAAAGTAAAAATAAATAAATAAAAAATTAATTTATCACACTTAAATATATTAAAATATTATCTTAATGATTTTTAACCATGCCTTCTGAAGAACTTCAATGCAAAAAAACAATCAACTCCGTGTGCTAAGGCTGCCACATATCCCATGTACTAAAATAATTAACAAAATATTACATATATAAATTTGTATGTTTATATAATACAAAAATAAAATTTAATTATTTATAATCTATCAGTTTAAGCATAACAAATAAACGAATTTTGTGTTTAAATGAACTTACATAAACTGCAGTCATTGCCGGATATGCCATAAAACCGGGAGTAATCAAAAATTGTGGATGTAAATAAACTACTGTAGCAAATCCCATATAACTTGATGCACTCAAATATAAGAAACAAGCTATGCCATTAAATAAAATTTCCTAAAATACAAGAAATTAAATAAAAATAAAAATTAAATAATTTTAATTAAAAATAATAATTTTTTTTTTAAATTTTAATTTTGATACTTACAAAAAATGATTGCCTTATTAAATTGTAACTTTTTTCTGAGAAACAATAACAAAATAATAGAATTGAAGATGTTGTAAAACAACAAGCAGTTGCTGTTAAAAAACTAGTTAAAGCTTGTCCAATACTAGATGCATACGGAATTCCATAACGTATTAATAATGTTTCACACATTGCTGCTAATAAAACTTCAGCACCTTTAATTATACCAATTTTTGATACAATAAAACTAAAATTTATACAAGTACAAACGCGACAACAACAAATATTAATACCCCCACGTTCGTTAATAGTAGGGCCACGAATACCAAATTTTGACATAATTTTTTTTTAATATTTTAACAAATTCTATCTTGATGCACTTTCAGATTTGAACTGTTTAAGTTACATCAATGGGAGAAGAATGAAAAAGGTAATTGTAACTAAAAAATATAAAGGAATGATCTCCCTCAAAGGAAGATCTTTGCTCTAAAAATAGATTTAAAAAATAAGAATAAGAAATTATTTTACGTATTCTAATAATATGCATTTTCCATCAAGAGAAGATAATTGAATTAAAAGAATCCCGTCTTATTTTTAATGCTTTTGTAAGTATGTATGTACATTGGAACATAAGGAATATATTCTCTATTTATTGTTATGGTATTTCATATCTATCCTTCGTTTTTCATATCTTATCTATTTTTAGGTGAAACAAAAACAAAAAAAAATTTATGCATTCATGCACAATGTTTATAGTAAGTTTTTGTTTTACAATCAATTCAGGAACAATTTGAGGAAATATTTTAAAATTTTTCAATATAAAAAAATGTCTAATTCAAATAAACATCTGTACTTGTAAATTATACATATGTGTATACATAAATGTACAAACGCAAATATATACATATGTGATATTATGGGCATATTTCAAGTTCATTCAATTTATTCATTTTCCAAGTTCGTTTCAATTCGAATAAATTTCATTTTAAATATTTTTCCTCAACTTGTGTACGTATGTATAAAAGTTTTATTTTGGCGTAAGCGCATAACATGAAAACTAGTTTAATTTACAATCTGAAATATTTAGATATTACGCTTCAGAGTTATCATGTAAAATAAAATTATTAAAATTAACAAAAAAATTCAAATCAAAATGAGCTCATGCCTCAAACTGGGATATAAGATAACACTATGAGATATTTTAGTCTTCCCAAATGTGATTCTAATGCAGCCTAATCTTATAGTTAGAATTTTCTTAATTACATGTATTTAAAAAATTTAATTTTAATGCATTTATATAATTAGCAGAATATTAGCAAAAGATTTTTAATAAATTGGATGATTGCATGTGATTATTGCAAAATAAAATTTTATCAATTCTTAAAATATTTTGAAATGAGGAGGAAAGCTACATTAATTTCAAAAAGGCCGCTTTTTTTTGTATTAATGGCCACAATATTTGCGCCCTACACATACTCGTATTATGTGTAGGGCACAATAACGTGTAGGTGTATTAATACAGATATCATGCCAGGAAAGGTGTACGATCCTTATCAAAGCTAATTTTGTTTTATTTCTCAGACTCCTTCTATATTCTTCAGAATTTCATTGTTCTGGGTTAAATAATATTTTAAAAATCAACTAAAATAATTACCTACATATAAACAATCTTAATAAATTAAGTAAAATTTTTTTAAAGAACAAGTAAAATTAAAAATTTATTTCACAAGTAATATTATTGTTGTAAATTACGTAATACACAAATCTGACTAGCATATTTTATGAAAACAAAGCACATATGTACATATTAATTAAATACAATTATTCTTGCAAATTAAAATCCATTATGACTTTTATAAAAATAAATCTCATGATTATGAAAATTATAGATTTGTAGTTAAATGTATAAAGAAACTGAAATTTTATTATTTCGATATTATTTTAAGCAAAATTCTTTTAAAAATTAAATTATTTTTACAAAGCTATTATTGTTTTTTGAAACTTAATAAGCTCTTATATACAATTTTAAATTCTCATCAAATGTTCAAATCATACTTACTACCCACCCGACAAAATATAAAATTATCTATTTAATTTAAAAAAAAATTTGTTCTTTGTTGAATTCAAGCACCTGCAATTAACTAGATCATTTAGTTTCAAATTAGTTTACTTAGATTTTGCCAACTATATTATATAATATTTAAAATGTTCATTAAAACCATAAAATTTTATTATGAGCATTTAAACTCAACACAATCTCAACTAAAAACGAGAAAAAATAGAGTTGACCTTGTCAATCAACTCTGTGATACCCGTACGAATTTGTTATCCCATGTGTGAATAAATTTGCCATAATTGACTATGGGACAGGCTATGACTTAAAATTGCCGTATTACCATATTAATTTATGCAAAATTTCAGTACTGTGTCTCAAAATACTGTGTGTGTCAAACTACTATTGAAGTTGTATGACAGCTACCAGAAAGAGCCAAGTATTTTCAACGACTTTTATCAGATACGTTGACCCTACTAATATATTCGCTTGTGTGAAATTTCAATACCACAGCTTTTATAGTTTCTGAGATATAGATAAATAAATTTTGTAGTTGTATGGCAGCTACCCGAACCAGCACCCCGATCATATCCAATTTAACTTACTACAATTAATCATTTGGTGAACTTAGCTCAATTAGTTTTTGAGTTATCGTTCGGACGGACGGACGGCCAGGCAAAGCTTAATCAACTCAGAATTTGACGCTGATCAAAAACATACACTTGAGTCTATATCTAGCACCGTTATTTCTTAGCGTTACAAGCGGTAAGGCTAATTTAGTATACCCTTCGAACATACGTTCGTACGGGTATAATTAGAGAAAATAATTTTCAAAAAGCGTGTGACGTGCAACTCATATTAAATGAGCAAATAATTTTATCATAAATGTAAGTACTTTAAGAATTATTTAACGATCTAACTGGCTAGGATCAAATTTTAATAAATAGTATAGTCATAAATAGCTTTTATAGTAATATATTTAGTAAATTAATTGGTAAACGTAATATTAACATTTATCATAAATTTTTTATGAGAATTTACTTATGAGAATTCAACTAATCTATTATAATTTTGACTTAAATATATGTGTAAAATTGAAAAGTATACACACAGAGTAGACCTCGCACTTATATTAATATGTGCACATATATGATATCAACGATGTCTTATGTAAACACAATATTATTTGTATTGCCTATACTCTATTAGTTTCCTAAAGTGAATTAACATACAACTTGCTATATGGGCACAATACTACAAATTTTGACAAAAATTTAAAAATTATTTTATTTATCTATTAGCGTATTATAGTTTAAATTGAATTAAAATATTTAATTAGTTCATATAGGTGTGAGTCTACTGTATATATCATTTTATAAACTACATATATTTACATACTGATATTGCTTAAATATATGTATATATATATATATAATGTGCAAATATTAAAATATATATTTACCATTAATAAAAACTTTATTCAAACAATTTCAACTATTCTGTTAAAGAATAAAATAATATAATTGAAATAAAGAAACACAAAAAATTGTGTTATAATATTATTTGATATTAATTACAAATAATTAAAATTAATTAATTTGTGACAAACATAAAATTTATTTGTTTATTAAATATTATTTGTAAATTCTAACTCTAATTTTTGTTTCTTAATTTCTACTTTAATTGTTCAAGTATGTAGTTCAAATTTTTGAAATTTTGTGCACGTGAATTAAAACTCATAAACTAATTGTTATACGGTGAAGTGTTCGATGGATATAGTTCCAAGAGAAAATAGTGAATAGTGAATTTTTTAAGTATGCAGTTATATAATGTGATATTTTAAAAGTAAAATTCTTCTTTTAGACTATTTTAGGGAAATTGTAATTAATTTGAATGAGGATTTAATTTCAAAACTTATTCTAAACCATCATAGTTTTCTAATCACAACGCGGACCTTTCGCCATATTAAACACATACAGTTTTAACTATCCGCAAATTCTTTAACGTCAAAATTTTGTTTTCAGTTTTTTTTTTAGATTTAAAATAATTTTATACTTACCTATTAAAAATTAACAAAAAAATATTTTTTATATTATTTTTAACGTAATGATAGTCACTCAATACATCAATTAATTATTTACTGAATTACTACGTCAGACTGTCTGCATGTAAAAAAAAAAATCTACAATTTTGACGCTTAATTGACTTTTTTTAAACGTTTATGAATTTAAACTTAGACTGAAAGTAAAAACGCAGTAGAGTATTCGTAAACTCAGACAACTCAGATTTTGTAAAATTTGACGTTTAAGAATTTACCATATCTATTATGTACGTTTTACTCCGGTGTACGTTTTTAGAAGGTTGTGCTTGTAGTCTTTCTGCATGTATTTTAAGAATTTTTAATAATTATGAATGAAAAAAATTATTATATTCAATTGATATTTGAAATATAACTTCGGAATTTTACCTGGTTTAAAAAAAAACCATATATAAAATAAAGGTCGTGCTTTTAAATTTCTCCCTTAGCATTGCGACTTGTTAGATTTAAAGACATTATTTCTCCATATATTTTAAATAAACATGAATGAAAAAAAAAAATTTTATCATTATATTTCTGCAAATTCTACAATTCATATCCATTTTACAAAATACATGCATATATGTATATCGACAGATTGACCCCTTTAGGAGTAATAAAATTGATAAGAATTCTATTTTATTCTAATTAAAATTTGTACTATTGCAATATACATCTATATATATACATATATTATATATAATGCAATATTTATGAATATTTTACTTTAATTGCTTTATGAATTTAAAAAAAAAGAAATCAATATTTGAAATCTAATTAAGAATGAAAACTTAATAACTTATATAAAGAATCGATAGAAAAATTGTACTACAAGAGTAAATGAAATAAATTCTGTTAGTTTATTATGCAGACGTTTCAATCTGATTTAGAACAGATCGGAAATTTATATAAACTCATATAAATTTCTAGAACTTCCTTCAAGTTCATTAGAACAGCAAGTATACTAATTTTTATTTCAGTATACTTTTTCAACAATTTTGTTTAAGAATATAATGGGCTCTGTAATTTATGCTGATATAACAGTTTTAATAATATAAAAGATCTGTTAAAAAAATTTTAAATTCTCGTTTTCTGTCTATGTCAAAATTAATTTGTGGAACTTTCAAAACTGAATTTTGATAACAATTTATCACAAAAAAGATAAAAAAAAAAATTTGCATAATGATTATAACAATTTTATTTTTATACAAGTATATCATATTTTATATAGCTCTATACTTATTATATTTTTATTTTAAATTTTAAGTGATCAACTTTATATTGTGAGTAGACATTTCTTATCACTTTCATGATAAGTAGGGTAACATTGTATATGGCTCTTAATAAACTGTACGCAAGAATTATAATTTGCAAAAGATTTTAAGAGTATATTTGAAGAGTAAATACGCTAAAGAACTATTATATGTAGGACAACATCAAATATTATAAAAGCGTATGTAAATATTCAAATATATGAGACAGTCCAATTTTAATTAGAACACCCCGCCGCGCATCTTATGTGAAACAAAAAAATTTTAATTTTTTTATAACAGTAATTTTTCCGTGACTTTTAATTATTCTTAATCATATTTTTATTTACCTATGTATTTAATTTAGTCTTTAATTTAATTAAATGGTCATGTATTATATATGCAAATAGTTGAGTAATAAAATAATTTGGAAACTATAAGATTCTCCTTTATTTGTATAAGATCATTAAGTATTTTAAATCAAATGAGAGATTGTGGGGTTCTATAGATTTTATTGCAACTACTTCAACCATAAAACATGACCGGCATATCATAAATTTAACAAAGAAATTAAATTTGTTAATAAATATTAAGTTTTTCTTTTTTTGAGTTGACTGCGGCAATACTTAAAATTTTTTAATTATAATATCATTTTATTTGATAACACATATGGACATAGTATAATTAATTACATTTGATGGAAATATAAATATTTTACTGTAATAAAATTTAAGGGCTTCAAATGCATTCCTTTCAAAAATCATAATAAATTTTTTTTTTATTTATTATTTTTGTTCTTTATTTGCTTAATGAAAATATGCAACATTTTTGCAATTATTAATATTATTTTTACAATATTGAAATAAATGAAAATATTGCAATTATTAATTAATTTGACTTGTCATCAAATAAATATTTAATTAATTACTTAATAATAAAAAAAATGAAAAAATCGCAGAAGTTATTCCACAATTTTGTATACTAGTGAATTTGGATGCTAAATACCATTGGGGATTTTCGATAATTCAGGAATTCAATGAAAGTTCTAAATTCTAAAAAACTTGAAAGTCTTTTCATGCATAATTATGTACAATTCTGCAAAAACTGAATATTTTATTTTTTAATTCGTAACGTACTCAAGATTTATTTAATATTAAACATTTTTTCTTCTAATTTATAATATTTTTGCAGTAGCTATAAAAATCTTAAAAATTCCTATAGAACTTTATGTACAAATGCAACTTTCGGACACAATTTATTTTACAGATTTTGCAGTTCGGATTTAATTTTGCAATTTTGCAAATTTTGCAGTTCGGATTCCATAAGTTAGAACTGAATTATCAAAAATCGCCATTCAAACATGATATAAAATATGTGAAGTAAAAATCAACACCCACAAGAACAAGAATTATTAAGAATAAAATATTATTAAGAAAATAGTAACAATTAGACTCATAGAGGAAATAAAGTACAAACAAATTTATTGTAATTATAAAAAATCGGAATTTGAATTGCCGACTTTTTATAACTGTTATACATATTATTATACATTATAACTGTTATACATACACTTTATTTCATATATGTAATATAGTTAGCTAGCTATTAATTATAATTCAAAAAATTATTTTTCAGTTTTAATTTCCTTTCGTATTAAAAAAATATTTAAAATATAATTGCATATACTTTGGCGTTGAATTTAATTATGTTACTGAAATATTGAAGTAAATATTTTAATACTCAAATATTATGAAGTATAAAGAATTTGGGCTTGACTAATAAATAAGAGTGTTTTGCCAAATTGGTAATTATAAATTGGTAATTTCAAATAAACCATTTCCCAAGGTGCAACCTTTCTTTCTTTAATCTTATAACCCATGTAATAAAAAATCCCAATAAATTTTAATAGTTTAATAATACTTCTACTTCCTAAATACTTATTGTAAATAATATGCAAAAAATATAACATACAAAAAATTCTATTACTAACTGTTATACATATATTAAATAATAATTTATAACAGTGTAAAGAGTGTTATCATATATTCATTCACTATTAATTATAATTTGCTACATCATTGCCATATATACAGTATGTATTATAATTTTATCTGCCATGAACTTTAAAATAATATCATTATTATATTAAAAAATAATAATAATAATAAAAAGCAATGAAAGACAAAAGAAATAAAATAAAAACAAAAAAACAAAAAATAAACGTTAAAAAATTTAATTAAATTCGAATATTTCATATACATAGTATCTCTCAGTTTACTAAAGTGAAAGCTTTTATATTATATTCGGTATGTGTTTATATACACACTCGCGTATTAAGACTATACATATGTAAATATTATGTAACAAAAATTTTTTTATATTATAATAAAAGTTATAAATTTAGTTGTGATATATTTAAAAATTTTAGTTTAACTTTGATAACAATCTCGTTATTACTTAAAATAAGAAAAAATTACCGCAGAAACTCTTATAATTTATACAAAACAAAAAAAAATAAATTCTAAAATTAAATTTCATATAATTATTAATTAATTTATTAAATACTATTCACGCACATATTAATATTTTCTTAAATTTAAATTAAATAATTATTATTTATTAAAAAAAAACCAAAAAATTAATATAGCTATAAAAATATGGAAATTCCAAAATTATTAAATAAAGATTTTTTTAAAAAATCAATTGAAAATGGTTTAAAAATTTCAAATGTGATAATTAATGAACTTGATATTAGTGCTGGTTTTAGTGGTGGCGAAAATTATTGTAGTCAAATATTTCGTGCATGTATTAAATATAATCATAATAATAAATCTAATAATATTTCTTTAATTATTAAATATATGGATTTATCTGGTGAAAAAATTTTCCTTGAAGAATTAGAAGTTTATCAACGTGAAAAGAAAATGTATTTTGAAGTGATACCAGAACTTGAAAAAATATTAGGTGGAAATGTTAAATTATCACCAAAGTAAGTTTAATAGCAATAAACCTTTAAATTACTCCATAATTTCAAAAATATAATTGAAATATTTAGAGAAAAAGCAGTTTTCATAAAGGGTGCGTATATATTGTGCACGGATTATTATGTTGCCCATATCCAAACAAATAATCTTGTTCAAATTTAAGATAGTTTTGCTTAAATTTGAAATATTTAAATATTTCGAGATTCGGAAAACTTTGAAATATTCTCATAATTATTTATATTAAATATTCATTATCTATTGTGAATTAATTTTTATATAAAATATAATTATCAATTCTAAAAACAATATCTTTATCTATATGTCCAAACTCAAGTGATTATCTCCTAGAAATTCAAAATCAAAATATAAATATGAAGACAAATATTAAGGGTATATTCTGTTATCTGAAATATTTAGGCAAAAAATATAAGCTTAAAAAATTTTAGTATGTACATAATTGCATAATTTATGTAGATTAAATTATTGCTCGTATTATAGCAATGTTTATGTTGCTCTCTATGCGATTTAAACAGCTTTTAAATGAATAAAAATGCTAATAATTAATTATTTTATATTATTCCTAATATAAAATGTATGTACTTGATGATAAGCAGAAATTTTATGTTAATTTTCAAAATTTAATAAAAATATTTTGTATAACTATTTAATAATATAATTAACTAGTATGAATTAATCGGTTTAAATGGTTTAATTAAGGGTTTTCCAAATAGACAGTTTACATTCATATATACATTTATTTAGATGTTTAACAATTTTGTTCATTAATTATGAAAAACTAATTCAGTTGTTTTTTAAATTAGTAGTGTTCAAATTTGTTCAAAACTCAAATAATTTATGAAAAAAAATTCAAATTACCTACTTATGTTATTAGCACAATCCAAATTAGATATCAAATGTATATTTCATAATTATTATATTAAATCCGAAACAATATAAGAGCTGAAAGAATCAAAAATCAAAATTATATACATAATTATCTTTAAAACTTATTTGAAATATAAGAGTTATATAGAAAATTAGACTTTTGTATAGAGCCAAAGAATATTTTTATTCAAACTCAACACCATTAAATTCGAAATAATAAGAAGTCTCTAGTTATAGGAGATGGTTCAACTAAATCATTACAGATCCATATTATTATGGAATTAAATTCTATATAATTACTGTTGTTATAAAAATAAATATATAAATTAATTACTTAAAGTAAGATTTCAAATTTAAATTACGGGCCATTAAATTTACAATTAAAAAAAAATAAAATTATTTAATAGCTTGTACAATTTGAGAATATTAAAAACAATTTGTCCAGAATGTTAAACAAAATTCTAAATTAGAATAATAGAGAAAAAAATAAAAACAATGACCTCATCGTATTCAAATTTAATACTCTCACACTCTTACTAACAATTTTAGCTTATAATGATAATAAACTAATTTCCGAATTTATACCTCATATAAAAAAAATTTTAATTATATTGCAGTTGATATTAATAATTTCAGATTTATAAAAAATATTATATTTTTAGATGTTTTTATGCTGTTAATGAACCAGTAACTACAATTGTTTTTGAGGATATGTCACAACAAGGATATGAAGTATCCGATCGTATTAATGGTTTAGATGAAATTCATATTAAAATACTTTTAGAAAAAATTGCAAAATTTCATGCGGCATCAATGATTTTAGCTGAAAAGGTAAATTAATAATCCTATTTAATAATAGATTAAAAAAAAAAAATTAAATTAAAAAGGATACCATCTTCAAACAAAAATAAATTTTTTTTTTTCAGGATCCGAATTTAATGAAATCATTTCATCGTGGTATGTTTCATTCAATGGATTGTTTAGCAAAAGATACAGTATTTATTGGAAATTTAGATTATTTAGCTGATACAGTTGATAAAAAGTGGTCAGATTTTGATGCAATCGCTAACAAAATTCGAAATATAAAAAAAAAATTTTACGATGTTGCATTAAAAACAGTTGAACTGAAAGAAAGCACAATAGCAGTATTAAATCATGGTGATCTCTGGGTTAATAATATGATGTTTAAAAAATGTAATAATACCGTTACAGATGTAGCTTTAGTAAGTAGAATAAATTTAAAAAAGTTAAAAATTTTTATTATTAACATTACTAAAATAACTATTTTACAAAATTTAACAGCTTTATGAAGAATTTAGTTTTACAAAAATCTAATGAAATCAAATTTTTTCCTTTGAATCAAATCAAATTTTAGATTGATCTTCAGTTATCGTATTATGGTAGTTTAGGAATTGATTTACATTATTTTATGAATACAAGTATACCTACGGAAATTTTAAAAACGAAACGCTATGAGCTACTTCGATTCTATTTTGGTCATTTAAAGAATACTTTAAAAATTTTAAATTATAAAAAAATTCCAACATGGGAAGAGTTTAAAAATGAGATTCATTCAACGGAATTTTATGGATTTTTTGCATATGAAGCTATTCTACCAGTCATATGTTTAGACAAAGAAGCATCTAAAGATAATTCTTTTGAAACATTTACCGATGAAAAGAAATCTCTTGAAAATCGTGAAAAGGTAATTAATAGTAAGAGATTTATTGAAATGTCGAAATATTCATTGGATCGATTTGATGAATTAGGTATTTTAGACATATAAAATTATATTTAAAGTATTATTATTGTGCTTAACACTATTTAAAAATAAAGTTTTTTATTGCACTTACACATTTAAAGTGTTTACTTTCCACCTATAAGAAATAATGTAAAATATATATATATATATATATATATATATATATGCATATATTATAATTGTAATATAATTAATATTAATGATAATAAATAGTTCAGAAAATTGTTGCAGATCTGGACTTCAACATAATTTAAAATCAATTTTTTTAATAGCATTTATGCCCAAAATTTTTATGAATTTTAAATTACATCTTGCAATTCTAAATGATTTTATACTAAAAATAATTGTTTTATTGCGAAACTCTCTATAATTTAGAGTTTAAAATTTAAACTAAATTAAAATAACAACAAAAATTATGTAAATATATTTTACGAATACCTCTGCAGATCTATTGAAAAAAAGGATAAAGCTGTAAGTATCCAATGTAATACCTATAACTTATGAATGTGAAGAAACAGTACATATGTATATCATTCTGTAAATTAAAATATACACAATGGATATAATTGTATAAATATGTTTATTTTAATTTGTATGATTTTTCCAAACTAATAATTCCATAAAAAGTTATTCTTTTCTAATAGCATACTGTTTATGTTATAGTTAATACTTCGTGCTCTAACATATGATCATCATATAATTTTTTTGAAGTAAAATGCTCTAAACAAGTTTCACATTTTTCATTAATAATATCGTGAACATTATTTATGTGCTGATTTAAATCATACGCATTAACGAATGGAATATTACAATATTCACATTCATTTAAATCGGTAACAACCTCCTTGTGCTCATTATAACGATGTAATTTCAAACCACGTTTTGTATTAAAGCCTATAGAACAATCATTGCACTTATATAAATCCGTTAAACCCATATTATGATTCCTTAAATGTTGTAGAAGATTTCTCCTATAAATTTTTTTAAAGTTTATTAATTCTACTTCATTTAATTATTTAAAGCTATATATAGGTATACATTTATATACTTACTTTATTGAAAAACTTTTAAAGCATTTTCCACATTGAAATATTTTGCTACTTGAAGAACTCTCATGATTAGTTGCATGTATTTCATACTCTTTTAAACTAAAGAACTCTTTTGAACAAAGTTCACATTTAAAGTGATTTTCTTCCTGGTGTGTTTTCAAATGAGTTAGCAATGAAGTTTTGCGAGAAAATTCCTTATCACAACCCTCACATTTGAAAGGTTTCTCCCCAGTATGAGTACGTTGGTGTTCAGATAACGAAAATCTACTCTGAAATTTCTTATCACATTCTGAACATTCTAAAGTTCGTGATTCACTTTGATTTAAATTGTGTTTTCTCATATGAAGCTGTAAAGAATATCTTGAATGCAAAGTTCTATTACAAATGGTACATGTATGATTTTCTGGTGGTATATTCGCATGTTTGATTTGTTCATGCCGCTATCAAGATAGAAAAATAGATAGAATAGAGAAAATAGATCATAATTAAAAACTCGTCAAAGTAGTCAAGAGTTTTGTTTAAATGGGTTTGAATAGCGAAGCTTACCTTAAGTCCATCTTTTTGACGAAAACTCAGACCACAAATTGAACATGAGAAAGGTTTTTCACCAGTGTGACGCCTCATATGGAAGATTAATGATTTTGCTTGCGTAAAACCACGCCCGCAAACGTTACATTGGTGTGGCCTGTAATATTTCTTTTGTAAAATAGTATATAAATTATTATTATTTATTATTAGGAAAATACCTTTCTCCCGTGTGTATTAACATATGAGATTTCAAAGAACCATTCTGAGTAAAGCCATTACCTTCAAAAATTCATATTTAAAAATTCTTTTAACTAAAAATTTAAAAAATTTATAACAAAACCAAGAAATTATTACCACAAATATTGCATTGGAAAGGTTTGATTCCGTCATGAGTTTGCTAAAAAACAAAATTTTTACACTTAGTACACACTACATATCAAGAACCATATTAAAGAAAATTTACCATATGCCTCATTAGATTCGTTTTGGTACTAAAATCTTTATCACACTTGATACAAATATGAGTCCGGTTAATATTTCTTTGTAAATCAGAAACCCCAATTTTTATCTCTTTAGTATATTTTTTTATGGGTGAATTCATGTTATTTAATTCGTCTGAATTATTTGAATCTGTTGCATTGTTAAAAATTTCATCTTTTGTTTCATTTATTGGTGATTTAACTTCAATCAAACGATGACGATCGTTTCTCAGAAAATGCTTTTGATCCTCAACTGGTAGTTCCATTATATCATTTATCCTATAGGCTTCTTGTATTTGGGAATCTGATTGTATAAACAAAATTTCTGAACTATTTCCCAAAATTCCGTCTGTATCTTCATTATCTACTGAATTATTGTTCTGACTGTTATCATCAATTAACTGAATTTCTTCGGCAATGGCATCCTGCTCCAGACTATTTTCGTCTTCTATATCGTTATTTCTATTATTCTCTTCTTGTAGTTCCATTTGGATTTCTTCGTTGGAATCTATTAAATAATCATCGCGCATATTTTGCTCACAATTTGATTGCATTTCATTATTTTCTTCTTCTTCTGTTTCATCTTCTTGAATATACTTTGTAAAATCATCTATATTTGCCGATACTTGAACTGCTGATGTTAAATGTAATGGAGTTGTTATTGGCTCCGTATTTTTACATGAATTTACTGTTACTTCATTAAAATTATTTTCTTCTAAAATTGAATTTTTCCGGATTGAAGGTGTAATTGCATTATCACAAATTGATTGCTCGATAATGTATTCCTCCTTGTGCGGGTTTGTGCCATTCATATAATTTTCTTTTTTGTAACCTTCTTCGATTAAAATCGACATTTCATTCTCACTATACTCACTATCGTTTGATATTTTTACTGCATTATTTTTGAATTGCCTAAATTCATTATTAATTTTCATTATAAATGCTCTCATTTGTAAGTCTGAATTCAAACACAGCCGACGGAAATCATATGAAACTTTTAGTTTAGCTACGCAATTATTGCAAAATAAAAGGGGCATTCCGTCATTTTTTGTTATCTGAAATGTAAAAATTTTTATGAAATATTTATTCCCGAAAAATGGAATATACATATATAATAATAGATATTTTTATTAGGATTTACAGTAAGATAGGTAGGTTTTCATCTTATTTTCCATCTTGATTGTAGGAATACCTATTTACATACTAAGTATGTTTGTAAGAAAAAAATCCATATTCTTGTTAATTATTGCCACAATAAGGCAATAATTCACAATTAAATACCTACTTAATTCCATACATTGAGAAATTAATTTATAAATTATATTAACGGCTGGTTACCGTTATTTACTAAACACAATCAAAAACATTTATTACTTTTATAAATCTAAGCTAAATAAAAAAAATCCATTCCTTTTCTCACGCCAAAATATTCAAAAACATCATTGTTTGGATAACCACATAATCTAAAGTAGTAGAACACTTTCAAAAAAAAATTTATTACCTTCAGTTGAGTTACAAATTGGAATTTTTCAATTAAGATATAATTTGAATCATGTTGTAAAGAATATCCTTCATTAGATTTTAAACAAATTCTACAAATATTTATATCAACTTTTAAATCCATTTCTAAAATTACTTTAAAGTTTATAAAAATCAGCGCGTTTTAAGGAATAGCTATGGCATAAAAAAACAAAAACACATGAAAAAATGACATTTCCAAACATTCAAGTTTACATAATCAAAATAATCATACTTTCAATTTGGATTGGAAAAACAAATTAGTTGAGTTCAAAATTTCATTCCGATAACACACTCACGTAAGTGACGTAATGAATAAATATGTAAGTGTAATGAATAAATATGTAGACGTATTTATTTATCGTATTCTTAGAAGTTTATATTAGGATATATGCAGTTATATTAGGTCTCTTTTCAATTTTGACGTCTCGTGACGACCAGTTTTTATCACCAAAAATTATTGCTTAAATTTTTACCAAATCGTATTAATATACTTTGACATTGTCAAAAAATAACTCAGTTATTTTATGAAATTTTAGTACTATCCATGAGTATATAAATTAATCTAAGTGAGTTTTTTTAGCAAAATTTAACTGGTCTTTCTTAAATTTTATTCATAGATAAAATTATACCTATTATTACCTATTATATTAGATATTAATTTTAATTTCATTTCGGAAATCTAAGTGAAATTACTTATCCATTAAGATAATTTATTGAAGTGACAAATTGTATATACTTATATGAGATTTGATATTTTATTATTTATTATTATTATTAATTAATTATTATTTATTATTAATTATTATGTATTTTATTATTTATTATAAACTCTTCTATTTCTTCAATTATATTTCACTCTGCAAATTTATGTATGTTTACACAATTCAAAACTTTGAGACCAGCTCAGATGCAAACGCGTCAATATAAAAGTTGAATTAATGATATCATTGCAAACTATTTCACGGATATCTACGATCTTTTAGTATGTTACGACGAACTGACAAATAATACTTAATATTGCTCATTCACTATTCAGCTTGGTCCTTCAACACATAGAAAAAATAACATGTTTTCAGAACCTTGAATTGTTAATGAATAATTGACAAGTCAAATGGTTGGCAAAAATTCCTAATATTTTTGATTATTTTTTTTAAAGATGTCAAAAAGTTATGGGCTTGAGTTTTATTCTGGCTTTGTTGCAGCATTGTTAAAACAACCAAATCAGTGATCGGCAACAGCGGACGATTTCCGTTATTAAAGCAGAACAGCGGAACAGCAAAATCACACAAACAGATAATGTAAAAAAAAACGGGTAGCGGTAAAGTAGGAATTTACGATATTTCAAGTCAGCAGTGAAATTTTGGCCGTAACTTCGCTTGATTTGAATATGTATATTCTATATAAATTCTGACATTACGCTCTTGTTCTCTTTTAAATTCCTTAGTGATGAAATATAATGAAAAGTTTTCAGTAGTTAAAAAAAGTTAGCTTTAAACCAACTGTACTGGTTTGTGTATGACACTTCACAACCTCCTGAAAAAAGTCGCCTTAAGTTAGCTTAAAATAATTTTAGCTGCGCCTTTAAATTTAGTGTTTAGATTAGTTAGGCGCCCAGCTTACATTCGAGCCATGCAAGTTGAACTGAAATTTTTTTTTAAATTACTTTCACAACCATTATTTTTGTATTAAAATTTGAAACTAATGCACATATTATAACTGATATTAGATGAGTGTATACATTTTGATCAAGGTCATCATATTGTAAACACGCATCTAATCAAACTTCATCGAATTTTAATCAAACCAATATGTACAAAAATAAAATTCAATAATAAAATTTGACAATATAAATAAATTTAATTAAAGTCTTTTCCATTTAAAAAGCAGTAACAAATGTACTATAAAGTATGTATATATATATGTATATAGTATTTTGAAGCAGGAAAAATACATACATATGCACTTGTGGTCATACATACATACATAAGTACATACATACATATATCAAAGGGCTAATCTTGATTCTGTAGTGTACCTAAACGAATTTCTGCAATTTCTTTCTTTCTTTCATGTACATACATATGTACATAAATTAATTGAAATTGCATTTTTATACCTTAGTTTATTATTGGTAAACAATTGCTAAAAATTAATATTTTCGCAAAATAAAAACAATAATTAGTAAAACATTAATAACGAAATAAACATAAAAAATAGGTACATACATATGTACTATACTGTATTCCAAAATATTAAAAATAAGAAAGGTATTGTAGAACTGAATAGAATTTATGAGGCAGCTATACTACACAAAAAAATTTCGACTTGAGAATACTTGATTGTAATATAAAATTCCAGCTTCTAATTCAATATTAGATTAAACGAAATTGATACTATCAGGCATCAATTTCATCTAAACTGTAACAAATCCTGAAAATTGACTTAGTTCAAAATGTTTTATAGTTACCTTCCAAAGACTTACATAATCTGCAATGTCAAACCATTGGCAAACCATCGGAAAACACCAAACATTTTAGATTAAATTTTTGATAGCATTTTTAAAACTCATTATGGTAAACTTTTTTGAATCAGTAATACTTTCAAATTAAATGCAAGGATTTTCTTCCAAAAACTTGCTACTAACTAATTCCAAATACATACATAAATATTTGTAATAAAATTTGCAAAATAGTATGTATACCATTTTTAGGAAATAGAAAAATATCGAATATTCATAAAATCCTTAACTTATAGATTTATTACAGAGTACTAAACTAAATTTTACAATTAGATGAAAACCAAATACATACTTAAAATTTTCAACTTGACAAGTTATTTCAGAATAATAAATAACCAACATTATGAACGATATCTTACTATTCAATTCCATTTATTGAAATTTTTATCTAAAGAATGATTTTTACTTTTATTTTCTATATTTTTCGTAATTTAAATTTTTTTAAATTATAAAAACAGAATCAAAGATTCTTAATAGCTTTTTCTTTCCATTAATAAACTTTGTGTTCTGATTCTATTAGGGTTTACAAACAAGTATTTTTTTTTTATTATTTTCGAATTTTAATTAAATTAGGAAAATAAACCATTTTAATATTAATTATTTTCTAAAGTCTTAAAAATATTTCAAAAACAAATATATTTTGTTTGTTTACATCTACTGTTTAATTGTTTTAACCTATTATATTTTAAAAACAGTTTGACTGAATATTAATAAATTGGGAATTTATTTAAAATTAAAAAGAAATAAGGACCATTTACAAATTACTTTAGATAAAAAAAAAAATTAAAATCTTAAGAATAATAGCTTAAAAACAACCGATAAGAAGTTCTATGTATAAGAAATACATTCATATATGTGTATATCATTTGGGCTATTGATAAATTATAATATCTGAAATAGGTTATCCATTAAACATTCATAATTAAGATTATTCATTAAAATAATGTAAAATATAAAAGTAATTTTATTAAAACGATTAAACAAATAGAAAAACTAATAATAAAATTAATAGATGCAAAGTATTATATTTTATATATATAATTTTATTATAACATATGACTCCAGTCAAAATCCATATATGAATTTGAATTTTGTTGATCATTTGCCTCCTCACCATCCTGAGCGCTTCTAATACTATTTTTCATAGCATCTGAATTTGAATTATCATCGTTTTGCTGAGCATCTTTGAAATTACTTTCAACAGTATCCGGATTTGAATCTTCTTTGTTAGCATCGGATACACTACTAGCATGATTTGAATTTTGTTCGCTCCCTTCAAAATTTTTTTGATCGTCCTCTTCATCTTCAATATCATCATCGTCATCATCGAAATTGTCAATTTCGTTATCTTCCATTGAATTTTCATTATCGAAATTTGGTTCTTGAGAATCATATTCTTCATTATTTGCATTCATAGCTTCATTATTAGCATTCATTTCATCTAAATTAAAATTAATGTTCTGTTCTGTATCCCGTTGTTGTTGCAGTTGCTCTTTATTCCGTTGCTCTATAAATAATAATCTTGTATGTGCTGCTTTTTCGTGCCTGAGCAAAAGGTCTTGACGATAAAATCCTTTACGGCAAAATCGACAACTAAATGGTTTTGTGTGTGTTCTTTCATGACGTTTTAAATGATCGTAACGGTTAAACGGCTTTTTACAAAATTGACAAGCAAAAGAATTTTTGTAAATTTTTGGTGGATTTGATGGTTTTTCGATATTTTTGATCGCAAGTACGTCTAGTTTTAGTTTTATGGGTTCAACTTTATTCGGAGTTTTTTTCACTTCAACATCACTTTTAAAATTATCGCTACCTTCTGTATTATAATCCCGAGCGGCTTTACTTGTAGATCCAACGCTTGATGAATTACCATCATTGTTGCCTGCATGTTTAACATTGTTGATCATGAGGTTATTTTCATCGCCAGTTGTTAATACCACTTCGGGGCAAAGTAAATATGCATGCATGTCAATATCTTCATCTTCTTTGTAACTCCTAGTCAAATAAATAGTCAAAAAAAAAAATGAAAAAATGTAGTTTAATTAGTTATTAAATATATATTACGAAATTGTATATTTATATTTATGTAAATATGTTTGTTAATGTAAACAAAAGATTTATTATTAGGACTTAAGAACTATTTTTTATTATTTCAAACTCGTCCTTTCTTAATAGCAAAAAATAATTTTTACAGTTTACTTACTGATCAAATTCATTATCAACCTCTGGGGCATATACATTTTCTGGTTCTTCTTCTACTTCTTCTTCAACTTCTACAGTTTTTTGATAAACTTTTGAAAGCCAAATATTATCCTCAAAATCTTGGTATTTATGAACATTTTTTAAATGTCTTCTCATTGTAGCACGGCCAGAAAATTCTTTTTCGCATATATGACAAATATATACATTAACAACTTTTGCTCTAGTTTTCGAATTTGGAATGCTTTCTGTCTTTATTTTTTCTTGCTTTGGACCTTTAAAACTTTTCAATGGTGTATGATTTTCATGATCATCGCTAGAGCCGTCATATGTTAAATCAATCGGTCTATCATTTTCAACAATGTTATGAACCAGTTCGTAATGTTTTTTTAAACCATATCGTCGCGATAAAGTTTTTTTACAGATACGACACGGAAAGCTGGGCGTATTATTTTCATGCCTTACGTTTTCTGGTTTTTGGAAAGAATGTGCCGATGCTGATCCTGTTGAGGATTTTGATGGTGTACTTGTTGATGATTTTGATGGTACTCCTGCTGTTGATTTTGATGCTCCCATTGACGGTCTAGGTCTATGTTCTGAATGATCATTGCTTCTTGAATTTTTCAATGGTACCAATTTTGGTTTTATAGAATCTATATCATAAAACTGATGAACTCTTTCCAAATGGCATTTAAGATAATAGCGTCGTGTTAGTCGTTTATAACATATGTGACATTCAAATGTAGTTTGTTGCTGGTCTTGAATGAGTGTGCTAAGAAGTAATTTATTAGAACTATCATTAATATCTTCATTGTACGATTTGAATGGATCATCTTTTTCTTCAATAGAACGTGCATCTTCTTCATTTTCATCAGCGTGCATGTCGTTATCATCATCCACCATAATTACTTGAGGAAGTATAGGGAAAGTCCTGAAAATTTAATATATTCTTCATTTAACGAAATTTTTTATTTTCTTAGGTATATATATATCTATGTTAACATTAAATCTACGTAAATTCACTCTTTAAATCTTATTATATTTTATTAAATATTGAAAACACAATTATTTACAACCATAATTTTAGTTTCAACATCTATTATTTAGTTTTTAAATATAAATTACAAATTTTTTAGAACATTTTTATTTAAAATTTAAAAAACCAACTTACATTTCTTCAATGTAACTTTCATTTTCCTCTTTTTTAATGGTTTTGGAAGCGTTCCTATTAATAGAATTTGCAAATAAGTCGCCATACACCTCAAAGTCAAAAAATTTATGAACTCTTTGCAAATGTTTCTTTAAAATATTTTTTCGTAATAGAGTTCTGTCACAAATATGACACACGAAACTTGGAGTACCATTAACTGGATCACTAGGCAAGCTTTTAGTTCGAAATATATTATTTTCGTTGATTTCCTGATACGATTTTTTATTAGATGACCGTGGTAATCTTTTACCGTCTAACATTTTCTTAATAACTTCATGAGAATACTCAGCCTGTTTTTTAAAGGCATATGCTACTTTAACATCATCTAAACATTTTTTGCATATTTGCTGTGGAAAATTGTCTTGCAAATCGACCTTAAAAATAGTTTTAAATTTTTAATTATTGTGATGTTTTTAATCAATTTAATTTAAATTTTATTTACTTTATCTGGTAAAAATTCTGAAATCATTTCATCGACTTCATCACGAAATATTGATGTTAATGGAACATCGGTTTGTAAACAAATACGGCAAACATTTTCAATGTTCGTGGAAAAAAAATCTTCTGGCATTGATGGTTTATACAAATTACTTGCCATCTTTTTTCTTTCAAAAAAATCCTTTCGTTTTAAATAGATATAAATTTATTTAAAATATGTTATTTACTAAAACACCATTTTTAAAATTTATTAAACATAATGAAAATTTAATTTTTAATAAATATTTTTTCCACGACACAAAGCATTTTTTAAGAAAAATTATCTTCTTTCAAGCTGTCAAATGTTTGAAGGTGGAAGCCATTGTAAGGTACCAGAATGAAATGGAAAATGTAATAGATTTTAATTTCTTTGCGCTGAAAGAAATTGGGAAGAGAATATAAAAAATTGAATAGAATTGTAACATAAGTTACGGCGCATAGTCAAAATTAAGTTCAGAATTTCTCAAACTAATTTTTCTTGCTATTCACAAGTATCAGACAACCTCCCAAACTTACATATCTAATTAACATCATCGGTATCTGATTTCCAAACAAATCGCGTTCTTCTTTTATGTTTTTGTTTTTTTCACTTCATGTCATTAATTTTGTGATTAAACCAAAATTTCATTATTCCTTTTCCATGCTTCCACTTTCCACAAAAATACGATTCAGCCTCAATTAAAACATTCCACTGTATAGTTTCGACAATTGATATTTTTGTAAAAAGTGTAAAATTTAGCTTATTTAATTATTTAGTAGCTTTCAAACAAACTGAAAAAACATTACACAATTTAAAATTACATTTGACGTTTCATGCCAAAGTACTCATACTTCTTTATTCATACTCATACCAATTCATGTTTTTCTGGGAAGTGATCGTCAACCATATTTTTGCAATAAAATTATAATGATCTGTAGTAATGTTACTAGTTAGGGGAGTGGTAAGAAATTCTTTTAGTTGTAATTGCAGTTATAGACAACAGAATAATAAAAACCTCTAGTACCTTTTGTAGACTAAAAGCGATTCACCGAATAGAATCGATTTCGATATTTGAGAGCCAACAGACGTTAAACGATTAACGTTGAGTGTGTACACAGAAATTTCAAATTACAATATTTCTCAATAAACGTTTATAACATTATATAAAAAAAATATTGAAGTTTACTCGTTAAAATTATGTTCCTCAATGTTCTCTCCAATTATTTATTTTGACTTTCCTGTAAAATTTAAATTAAAATAACATAGATTGGGTAACCAAAAATTTTTACGTTTAATATGAAAAAGTTTTTTTAAGAAAATAAAAATTTGTGGTTCGATGAATCTCTATGCGACATAGTTTCTTCTACTCCTTGATTTAATATTCTTATAACATGTGCAATTTTTTAAACTTTAGATCTTCTCATGTATTGAGTTTAACTGCTTTGAGCATCTTTTTAGTTTTGTTAGTCAATCTCAGTTTTATTTTTATTTATTTACATTTTTTGTTAATAAATAAATAAATAAGTGGTTATAGCATGCTACTGATTATGGTTTCCTTCACCAAAAACGAATTTTTAATATATGAGGTTAAAATATTAACAAAGTTCTCTTAATTTTGCCTATTTCAAACATTATTACTCTAAAATATAGAATATAAGAAATGTTGCAGTACTTTATCCAGCTCATCCAACTTTTTATCTTAAACTTGTTTTCAGTGTTTTCTTATGCGAATTCTAAAATTCCTAGATGTAGTACTTATTAAAAAGACGTATTACTTAAATATATAATGATGTCAGCAAACCGTACTGAGAATTAAACTAAAACTGAACAGTTAACTTAATAAAACAATTAATCATTAATTGTCATCCTTTACCTCACAGATTGTTTCATTTTTAATATTTCCTTGCTCATTTTTTTCGTCTTCGGCTTGGGATGAAAGACCATTGTTTAAACTTCTATTTTCCGCCTCAGTGGTAATATTATTAGACGATTCCTTTGGCGGCAATTCAACTTTATGTACGAAATTAGTTCTAATAGGTGGTTCGTCGACACCATGAACCTGACGTTTATGTTGTCTTAAATTAAACATTTGAACAAATCCTAAATCACAAAGATCACAATAAAAACGCTCGCTAGTATGTCGACGCTTATGATGAATTTTCAGGTCACCAGTTTTTGCAAAAGCCCTAGGACAATATGAACACTTATAAGGCCGCTAAAAGAAAATTTACTGTAATCAAATAAAATTCATTAACAGTCTTAGCATACTTCGCCTGTGTGAATTCGCATATGAACTCGCAATTTGTAAGCAGTTGAAAACGCTTTTGGACAATTCGTACATTTAAAATTTCTTTCACCAGTGTGCGATCTTCAAGAAAAAAAAAAATTGGTTTAAGATTGGAAAAATTTTATAATAAGATACCTTTCATGCGCATGTTGGTCTGCTGGTCTCAAGAAGGCTTTATCACAATATTGACATTTAAACGGTTTTTCGCCTGTATGTCGTTTTAAATGAATTTTAAAATCCTGTAATTTTCTAAAACTACCACCACATTCAGAGCAAAGAAATTGTTTGGAAGTCTTATAATGTTCCTTACAATGTTTTCTATATTCAGTTGAACCAATAATTTTTTCTGAACAATATTTGCAAGAAAATTCTCTGGTTTCATTATGTTCTAGGTCAATATGATCCTGTACGGCTTTTTCTGTTGAAAATTTTCTTAGACACACCTCACAAGGAAAACGATGTTCGGTTGGTTTTTTGGCACGCCTTTTCCTTCCTGTTGAACAGATCAAAATATGCCTTTTTAAATGTTCAGTACGTCTAAACGATTTCTCGCATGTTAAACATTTAAATGGCCTTAAATCTGCGTGAACTCCATTCACGTGAGTTTTCAAATGATTTGACCTGGAAAATGACTTTGAGCACATTGTGCACGAATACGGTTTCGCTCTTGGATTGCCAGTATGCAATAGTTGATGACGAAACAAGTCTTGAGTTTTAGCATAGACTTTTTTACAAATTTCACATTCATAAATTTTTGCCTCAATAGTTTTCTGGTACACTTTTGATAGCCAAATATCATCTTCGAAATTTTCAAATTTATGAATATTTTTCAAATGCCGTCTGGTTGTTGTTCTACAAGAAAATTCTTTTTCACATATGTGGCATTTGTACGCATTGATGGTCTTCGGTCGAGTTTTATTTGATTTCACATTTCCTGCTTGGGATACATCTAAGCTTGCAGTTGAGGAATTATTTTCATGATAGTCGCTTGAAATATCGTTATTTAAAATAGTTAAGTCCTGATCCTTTATTTCTTCCGATTGTTCTGCAGTTAAGCATCCGAAATCAAACGAATCATTTACATTCGAATTTTCTTCCAAAAGAATTTCCGCTTTAATATCAACAGTATTAGCACCGCTCTTTTGGTGCTGTTTTTCTAAATGCAGTTTCAAATCCTTTTCTGTTTTTGCATATTGTGTTTTTATATTTATTTGATTTGAATTGGTTACATTAGTTTCATTTTCAAATTTTACAATGCTATGTTTTCCATCCTTGTCTGTCTCCTTTACTTCCAGAAACGTAGAAAGGGGTCTTTTAAAAAAGTTAAATTAATGCATTTAATTTAAATAGGAATTAAGAAAAAATCAACATAAAATATCTATAAATTATCTTACTCCTGCTCCATGTTATTTTCGCTATCAGCCTTTTTAATTTTTTCTTTCCCGTTATCAAAGATACTGTCCAATTCTTCATCGAATCTAAGAAATTTGTGTGCTTTTTCCATATGCTTTTTTAAAAGGTTCTTTCGTTTTAAATTTCGATTGCAAATAAGGCATTGAAAACAAGTTTTGCTGGAAGGATTTTGGAGAGAGATATTCAGTTGACAATTTACTTGGCCTATGTTTCTTCTAGTTATTCTAATCGACCTTTTCCCACTTAAGAGTTTTTTGATAACTTCATGAGAATATTCGATTTTCTTTTTAAAAGCGTACGCTTCTTTCACACCTATTAGACATTTTTCACATATCTGATGTGGAAACTGGTCTTGCTCATCAATCTTAAAGTAATAGGATATATAAATCCATCCATTATATTCGTTTATAAAAATTTTACCTTATCAGATACGAACTCAGAAATCATCTTATCAACATCATTCCTAAAAATTGAGGACAATGGAATATCAATTTGTAAACAAATTCGACAAACATTTTCAACGTTTTCAGGACTTAATTCTGTTGGGGTATATGGTTGATACAACTTGCTTTCCGCACTCATTTTGTAAAAATTCAGCTTTTAATCAAATAAATATTATATAAACTAATTAAAACCATTATTTGTTCTTCTAAAATAAAGAAAGAATTAAAAAATTTTACGAAATTTGGTCCACAACATTAAAAAATAAACGATTTTTTATGAACAAAACAATTTGTGATTATTTTATACTGTGCACAGTTGTCAAACTACATTAATGTGACAACAAAAGAAGCAGCGAATTCACATAAGTGGCGATTTTCCAATAAACAAATATTTTAAAATTAATCCACCTCGCGTCTGTTTTGTCAACTAAATGGCTACCTAGAAATTATGGAGGTCTCGGACACTTAGTCTGTTTTGGGTCAATAAGTCGATTGAAAAATTTCCAGAAAAATTGGAATTTTTCTAAAAATATTTTTCAAATACAATGATTTACGCATATAATTTCATATGTTCATGCACATAAGTTAAAAACCAAAATGGCATGCAAGAAATATTGAAAAATATAACATCTTACGACCAACTTCAACATTCCAAAACTTGACCTCTTTCAAAAACAAAGTCGCTTTCATACAAAAATATTATCAAAATTTGCGTTGCCTCAATCACTTTTCCATTCTCTCATTTTTTCCACTTTCTTCTCATTAGAATGAATTAAGTAAATTGGACGCTGCTGTTGTTTGAACAAATAAAGAAATAAAAAAAGTTGATCGAGAACAGCGTTCCCAGTAGGATACAATTACATCCATTTGGATACATTTTTGCTTAAAATTTAGCTTGGATACAACGATACTTAAATCTGTTAAAATGCTGAAATTGGATACATTAGAAAATTTTGCTGAAGTATGCATAAATTTATTTTTCAAACACTAAATTAATATTACAAATCAGTTAAATAGTGCTAATATTAAATCACGAAATTGCTTTATCTTCAAAAAAATGTTATTTGCTGGCTTTTCTAAGCAGATTTCCGAATTTATTAAACGAGATTAAGAAAGATACTTTATTAAATGAGTACTGCCTCTTCCTGTATTCAAATCTAGAAGATTTATACAAGAACGTACCAGAAATATTTTGGTGTAAGCTAGGTGTAATAGAAAATGCATTGGCTGTGCATATTTTTTAAAATTTGTCCGTTTGCATGTTGAATCGTCTTTACCGTATAGTTAAACAACTAAAGAGCATATACATATGTATGTATGTATGTATTTTCTGACCTTAACTTTTACATTTAAAATGTATTAGAAGTTTTATGTGATTTCTTAGAAAATTTACTATAAATAACAAAATTCACATTGTTGAATAAAGCAAATTAATATTAATTTATTATGAGTTAATTTGTACAAAATAAGAAGACTTTGTATAATAATTCTACTTAAGAGTTTGGATATATTTTTTCTCGAAATTAGATACATTTTGTTTTAACCGAATGGGAGAAATGATCGAGAGCATCATTCATACACAAGTACGTATCTAGAAGGAGAGAGAGAGTATGTATACACTCTTTCAACGCATATTAGATAGCATTACAGTAATAACTGGAGAATAATAACAGAATTGAACAGAATGAAATAATTGAGTTTATTATACAAATGCATGACTTTTATTTTTTTTCCTTTTTCTCAGTCATACAAAAAAACAAATTTACCGGTTGCAGGGGGAAGTATTTTAAAAAGGTTTTTGCAAACTACCTACAATTAATTCATTTTTGTGGCATACTAGTTAAAATACTAACTATCCTCAACACTTTCTTACATAACTTTTTCTTTTATTACCCTAATTAATAATCTTTAACAGGAATTTTAATTTTGCATATAAAATTATATTCTTTCCTCTTCTTCAAGAAATAACTTTATTATCGTTATATGATCTTTTATTTTTCGTTATATACTTACTCTTTAAGTCATTTGCCACATGAGAAAGAAGATTTTTTGTTTTTTTCTTGCTTAAGTTCTTTTGTAAAAGCAAAAATAAAAATACTCGTAAGGACAATGAATTTTGAAAGAAATACATGCATTTTTCTTTCTAATATTAAGTACCTAAGCACAATTAATTATATATGTAGATCTAATGAAAACTTTACTCCTAGAGAAATAAGGAGATCATTTATTTGTAAGTTTAAAAAAACTTGCAAAATTGCCTAACTTAATATCACTTATTTATTTAATGTATTTTCAAGCATTATTGTATCATTACATTAATGTATTATTTCAAGTATTCCTAATTTTCCGGAATTGCTCGCCAAAAAAAAAAAAACATACATAAAGTCACATAAATTTAAATCAATCCGAATAACGTTTTAAATTTAAATTACTCGAATGATTTGCGTATGGGTTAGTTTTAAATATTGTCGTCTATTGTAAATAAAAACACAAAAAACTTCCCTTTTTTCGATTTACGCGTTAAATCATCAAATTAAGATTTGCAATTTGTAAGTAAGAAAAAAAAAGAAATTTTATTTTATCAAGTGAATTTTATTGAGTGAATTAAAAAAAAAAATAGTGATTGAAAAAAAACCAAACTAGAGATAAAAAAAGTAAAATCATAAATTAAAACACATATATTTTTTGTTTTAGGATCCGTATGAGCATCGCCTTAAGAAGTCGGTGCTTTGGAAATACTTTGAGCCGAGGGGGGACGCAAATATTTGGTGTGGCCTATGTTACGAGAACAACGTAAAGAAATTGTGAAAAAAAAGTGTAATCAACTGAAAAGGCACTTATTATCACAGCATTTCATAAATTTCATAAATATAGAAAGCCCTGAAAACTCATCCAAAGATGATTTTAGTGTGTTTGGGCAAATTCTGGAAGAAACCGTAAGATCCAGGTGAGCTTTGTTACGTATATTTATAGTTAACAAAGTATATCGTCAGTAGTCCTACCGGCAGGTATCCACCGCCTGTACCCCTTTCGCCAATAGCACCGTCAGAAAACGAATTATATATGAAAATTAGAATACTAGAATCAGTAACAGATACGCAATTAATATACACTTAATATACAATTAAATAATTGTAATTAATTAAATAATATACAGTTAATTTTTTTATTTTGGAATTGATTCGTCAACCTGTTTTTCCGGTTTCTTCGTTTCTATTTTATTCATCAAAAAAAACTCTACCCCCAGGTTCAACCACGCCATGTACTTCACGTTTATGTCTTCTCAAGAGGTACTTTTGATCGGAGCTCATGTCGCAGAGATTACAATAAAATAATTCGCCTGTATGCTGCCGGAGATGTTTTGTCAAGTCAATTTTTTTCGCGAAACTTCTTGGGCAGTATGTACATTTGTGTGGTCGCTAAAAAATTTATTTTGAATTAGTAAAAATCAAAAATATACAATAAACTATTTCATCCTTACTTCGCCTGTATGAATTCGGATATGATTTCGTAATTTATAATTTGTTGCGAACGTTTTGCTACATTCTGTGCATTCATACTTCTTTTCTCCTCTGTGCTCTCTACAAAAATAAATTCTTTTATAAAAACAACTTTATTTATTTCAAAATAAGAAACCTTTCATGTACATGTTTATCTGTACTTCTCGGAAAAGCCTTCCCACAATATCTACATTTATATGGCCGCTCTCCAGTGTCCATTCTGGCGTGTATAGTAAAGCAATTGCATTTTGTGAAACTCTTACCACATTGGGAACAAAAATATTCTCTTTCCGGCACTGTATTATGTGCTGTTCTAGTTCCAATAATTTTCTTTTTTTTCTTATCGTTCAAGCATATTTGTCGATTCTTATGGCATTGTAGATGCTCATTCCGTTTGAAAGATTTCTGACAAATTGAACATTTGAAAGGTCTTATGCCATCATGAACACTATTAACATGATTTTTTAAATCGACTGGTCTTAGAAATGATTCGGAACACAGAGTACATTTATAAGGCTTTGCAATTTCGGAATGTGAAAACTTATGATTTATCAAAGCTGCCGACTTATCAAATGTTTTTTTGCAAATTTCGCATTCATATTTCCCGTCCTCATTTGGTTTGGTTTCAATCTTTGCAATCCGCTTTTTAGATTCCGATATCATTGATTTAATAAGCTCTTTTGTAACTTTTATCGTCTTCTTAGCAAATTGTTTTTCATTTTCTTTTTTGTTCTGCTTCTCATTCTCATCTTGTTCATCTTCATCGTATTCTTCTTCCAAATCAAGATTTTCATCAAGCACTGAAACGCATTCAAAAGACATGAGTGGATCTTCATCAAGTAGATCATCTTCTAACTCATTATTTAAAGGTTCAGTGATTTCTATTTTCTCCAGCGGTTTAGATGGGCGATCTAAACTGATAAAAAGTTACACATTACATGAAAGTACGTAAGTACATATATATATATATTATATGCAAAATTTTAAATTATTTTATTTTATTTCACTTTATTTTATACTTACTTTTCTGGTTGAAAAGGTAATGGCAACTCTTTCAAAATTTCCAAATTATTTAAACTGACTGGAGTAATTTTATACTTATTTTCTGGTAACGTTTCATTTTTTTCAAAAGTGTATTGTGAAAGAAATTTTTCGTTTGAATTATGGGCGCTAATTACATGTTTCCTCACATTTTCTTTATTGTTGAAAGACTCGTTACATAACTGGCAATCATTTCCTTTTAAAAATTCTTTTTCTATTCTAATTCTTTTATTAATATTGAACGTTTTATTTACTTTATGTATTTTAACAATATGTTTTCTTAAATACTCTTTTCTAGTGAAATTTTTTGTGCATAAAAAACATTCATTTCTACAGGAAAAATCGCGTGGAGACTTGAATTTGTCAAAATCGGTTTGAGTTTCCTTTTCGAAAGATTTTTTGTCATCCGGTTCATGTAACACTAATTTAATTAGTTTATCTGCATACTCACATTGCTTCTTAAATATGTAAGCAACTTTTGCTTCATCAAAACATTCAACGCATATTCGGTAAGGATGTAAAGGCCTGCGGCATAACTACAAAGCAAACAATATATTCATACTATACTCAATTTTTTTTCATTATTTGAAATACTTACCTTTTGTGGTAAAAACTCAGATATCAAAAATTCAATTTCATTATCATATAGCGATAGAAAATTTTCAGTGAAATGTAAACAAATTCGGCAAATATTTTGGAGTTCAGCTGGTTGAAAACTTGCATGACTTTTAGGTTTGAATATATTTAACATACTCAAAATAAATTTCTAATTTTAAAAGTTTTAAAATTACTCAAAATTTGATTTTTTTAATTAAAATATGTAAATAAGGACAAGACAGCATTAAGCAATAAAGGATTGGAATTACCTTGTGTCAGTTTGTGTTCAGCATAAGTTAATTACCATTCAATTTTATTCAATTTACACAACAAAATGACGTTTCTTTCAATAAATGAATGTGCGTCAACATTATCGATGTAACCATCAATTTTCACTTTATTACTTTTTTTTACAAAAACGTTGTACTTTTCAAGCTCTACATTTATATATATAAAGTACCGCTAAATCGAATTAGAAGTTAGTCAATTTTGCTTCAGAAATCGCCAGCCCGTGGAAGTATGGAAAGTGGCGTCTTAAGAAGCTAAATAGAGGCTAAAACGACGTGTAAACGTTTCCGAACGGAAAGATATCAAAAGCAAGAGATTTAAGAATGCAGGAAAGTCTTATACAAATAGAAAAAATAAAATTGTACTTGAGAAAAAAACTCCAAAAATGGTGTTGTATGTAAGTACGAGTATGTAACAAAATTTTATAACGCAATTTTCAGACTGCAAATATAATTTCAAATGTAGAGATTTTTCAACAAAAGTATTGAAGCAGGAATTTGATCATTTTACAAAATAAGGTAACGAACAGACGATATGAAAAATTTTATTTGCGGAAAAAATTGTAGATGGAAACAAAAATTCTAGTTAGACAAATATGGAATAATGTTATATACGCACTATTTACAACGTTTTCCCATGCAAAAACTTTTATTTTTCCGATTTCCTCTCCTTATATTAATCATATCTTAATAATTTTTGGAATGAAAGTATAAAATTATGAAATAAACCAGAATATGTCAAAACAAATTTATATAAAACAAAAACGGCACTTGCAAACAGTTTTTTTTTTGTACCCTGAAAAGTTGTTAATTTGTTGGTTACAACGTTATCGCGCCACATATTCAAATATTTTAATACAGTTAATTTATTTACAAATTATTTGATAGAGCTTAAACTTTTCATCAAAATTGAATAAGTCATTTTGGTTAAGAGTTTTTAAAACCTCTATAAAACTTAAACAAACTTTATAAAGTTTTTGTATGCATGTATGTATACTTGAACAAAAATGAGAGAAAATTATGACGTTTTTATTTTCTTAATGTTTAAATTTTTCCAGGTTTTGTAAAGTGAAATTTAGTATTTTTAAAACTCTTTGAACTTAATAATTTTAAAACTTTTATTTTCGAAACATTTTAATTAAAAATAAAATAAACAAAATTGATTCACAAATGGCTTTTTCTAAGTTTCACTCTTTTATAATCTTAAAATCAAAATTTGCGGTTTTTGATATATCCAAAAAATATTTGTTAAATACATAACTTATTTATAAAGATTTTAAAAGTTTTTCCAACATTTCTGTTTTATTTATTTTTCTTTTGAAGTTAGTTCCCACAAAAAATTAATTTTAGCTATTTCACTTTCAAAAAATCGGAAATGTGATAGTAAATCGGATGAGATTATAGTACTCAATTTCTAGTGTTTCATGAAAGCAGCAGTTTTTTTTTATGTAAGACATTAAATGCGAACTTTTCTATATCGTCATTTTCAATTGAAATCACCTATTTATTTAAGCAATTAATTTATTAAACACTTAATTTTCTGGTTTTGAATTTGATTCTTCAAGCTGTTTTTCCGGTTCCTGCGTTTCTACTTTATCCATCAAAAAAACTCTACCCCCAGGTTCAATCACGCCATGTACTTCACGTTTGTGTCTTCTCAAGAGGTACTTTTGAGCGGAACTCATGTCGCAGAGATTGCAATAAAATCGTTCCCCTGTGTGTTGCCGGAGATGTTTTGTTAAGTCGCTCTTTTCCGCGAAACCTCTTGGACAGTATGTACACTTGTATGGCCGCTAAAAAGATTTTTTTTGAACTAATTAAAAACCACAAATATACAACAGACTATTTCATTCTTACCTCGCCTGTATGAATTCGCATATGAATTCGCAATTTATAATTTGTTGCGAATGCTTTGCTACATTCTGTGCATACATAATTTTTTTCTCCTCTGTGCAATCTACAAAAATTAATTCTTTTATAAAAACAACTATTTATTTAAAAATTAGAACCTTTCATGTGCATGTTGATCTGTACTCCTTGGAAAAGCCTTTCCACAATATCTACATTTATATGGCCGCTCTCCAGTATGCATTCTGGCATGTATAGTAAAACAATGGTATTTTGTGAAACTTTTACCACATTCGCTACAAAGATATTCTCTTTCCGGTGCAGTATAATGTGCTCTACAATGTTTTTTATATGCTCTGGTTCCAATAATTTTTTTTGAACAAGTTTTACATGTAAACTCTCTAGTTTCATCATGTTGCATTGCCATATGATCTTTAGCACGTTTTTCTGTTGTAAATTTGCTTTTACACATCTCACATGGAAACAATCTTTCGTATGGACGAGTTTTTTTTTCGTTTAAACATATTAGCCGATTCATATGCCGTTGTAGATGCTCATTGCGAGTGAAAGATTTCTGACAAATTGAACATTTGAAAGGTCTTATGCCAGCATGAACGCAGTTAACATGATTTTTTAAATTGTCTGGTCTTAGAAAAGATTTGGAGCACATAGTACATACATAAGGCTTTGTAACTCCGGAATGTGAAAATTTATGATTTATCAAATCTGCCGACTTATCAAATGTTTTTTTGCAAATCTCGCATTCATATTTCCCGTCTTCATTTGGTTTGGTTTCAATATTTGCGATCTGCTTTTTAGACTCCGATATCATTGATTTAACAAGCTCTTTTGTAACTTTTATCGCCTGCTTAGCGGATTGTTTTTCATTTTCTTTCTTGTTCTGCTTCTCATTCTCATCTTGTTCATCTTCATCGTATTCCTCTTCCAAATCAGGATTTTCATCAAGCACTGAAACGCATTCAAAAGACATGAGTGGATCTTCATCAGGTGGATCATCCTCTAACTTAGTATTTAAAGGTTCAGTGATTTCTATTTTCTCCGGCGGTTTAGGTGGTTGATCTAAACTGATAAAAAAATATACATATACATGAAAGTACGTACATATATGTATATATATACTATATGCAGTATTTTAAATTATTTTATTTTATTTCACTTTATTTTATACTTACTTTTCTGGTTGAAAAGGTAATGGCAGCTCATTTTTTAGATCATTCAAAATTTCCAAATTATTTAAAATGTCGGGAGTAATTTCATACTTATTTTCTGGTAACGTTTCATTTGTTTCAAAAGTGTATTGGGAAAGAAATTTTTCGTTTGAATTATGGGCGCTAATTACATGTTTCCTCAAATCTTCTTTGTTGTTGAAAGACTCGGTACATAACTGGCAGTCATTTCCCCTTAAAAATTCTTTTTCTATTCTAATTCGTTCATCAATATTCAAAGTTTTATTAGCTTTATGTATTCCAACAATATGTTTTCTTAAATGCTCTTTTCTAGTAAAACTTTTTGTACACAAAAAACATTTATTTCTGCAGGAAAAACCAAGTTCTGGATGTACAGAACCTAAATGATCCCTCAAAGTCCCAAGTTTGGTAAAATTTTTAGTACAAATACGACATTCATGTGGAGTATTACTATGTTCTTTTACCCTATGTTCCCTTACAATTTCCAATGACTCAAATTTTTTATCACACTTTTCGCATGGATATATAAATTTGCTAAAATCGGTTTGAGTTTCCTTTTCGAAAGTTTTGTTAATATCCGGTTCATGTAATACTAATTTAATTAGTTTATCTGCATACTCACATTGCTTCTTAAATATGTAAGCAACTTTTGCTTCATCAAAACATTCAACGCATATTCGGTAAGGATGTAAAGGCCTGCGGCATAACTACAAAGCAAACAATATATTCATACTATACTCAATTTTTTTTTCATTATTTGAAATACTTACCTTTTGTGGTAAAAACTCAGATATCAAAAATTCAATTTCATTATCATATAGCGATAGAAAATTTTCAGTGGAATGTAAACAAATTCGACAAACATTTTGGAGTTCAGCTGGTTGAAAACTTGCATGACTTTTTGGTTTGAATATATTTAACATATTCAAAATAATAAGTTTTTATTTAAAAAGTTTTAAAATTATTTAAAATTTAAATTTTTTTAATTATAATATAAATACGGACAAGACAATAAGCAGTAATGGCTTTTACCTTGTGTCAATTTGCTTCAATATAACTTAATTACCATTCAATTTTATTCAATTTAAACGAACGAAATGACGTTTCTTTCAATAAATATTGAAACATCAATGCCAATTCAAAATGTAGTAAAATAATTTTATTTCATCGCAAGCGCTTTTCATTGCAAGGCGATACAATGTCTTATTTTCAAAACGCGATTTATTTCCATCTTCTTATCTAAGTAAGATTCTCTTTACATATACGCTACAAAATCTTACATTAAAATTTACGATTGTCAAAAAGTGTTTATGTACATATACAACTTTCATAAGACTCAAATTAAAAATTAAATTTTTTCGTATAAATGTTTGTAAACAGTAACTAACAAATAAGACAATTTTTAACATTAGTGTCTGTATTTTATGTTTATTTCACAAACGATCACTTTGTAAAGTTTAAGTTGAAAACAGAACAAAGGGGATTTTCCGCGGCGAAATGTCAAAATTTCATATATTAACATTAGCTACACATTCTAGTAGAAAAAAAAGGAATACAAAATTAAACTCCTAGCTTATGAAGAGTCGCATATAGTTCGTTCGGGTGCGGCACAAAAAAAATGCACAAAATGTACAATTTGCATTGAAAAAATGCCTCTCACGGCACTAATGTGCACATTTCAAGAGTAAACCTCTTTCAAAAATAAGGCCATTTTCATACAAAAAATAAAGCAAAACTGACCTTTTGACAAAATAAGTCTTTAATATCCCACTCCTCCCATTTTTCCCCCTTTCTTGTTATTAAATTAGAAAATCGAATAAAACATAAGAAAAAGTATGAGAAAAAAGTGGCCTACTGTGGATAAAGAATTAAATAGTTATTATCAAATGTAAAGTATGTATACAATATATTCTTTCCTATTGTAATGTGTATGCATATTTGATATGTATGTATAAAATAGAACTCGTATAAAAGAGTGTTATAAAATAGAAAAAGGATAAATATAAATAAAACAATAAAATAATTCAAAATTTCTTTTTTTCTAAATGATAGTTATAAATTGCACATAACAGGTATGAATTGTAATTGTGGTATATTACTTTTTGAACAAAAATTACTGAAAATGTTGACGTTATCATTTTCACAATATTTAAAGTTTTCAAAAGTTTACATAATAGGTTATTTGTTGAATACAAAAAAAAAATGTAAACCAGAACGTTGAAATCGTTTTAAAAGTTTTATAAAATATGTATGTCGAACTTTATAATATTTGCAAACATAGACAGTACATACAACAGAAGAATATATCTTTTCAAAGCTAAAAGTTTTTAAAGTATTAAATTTTACCTTGCAAAACTTTTGAAAGAGAATTTTAATTTTTTAATGTAGAATTTTAAGAAAATTTTTTAAAAATTAACTTGGAGAAATATAATGATCCTTATTGCCGGGTACATTTATGACGGTACATATTTAAATAATATACTAAAAACAAATTTATTTAAAAAATTAGTTATAATAATAGAAACATATTACATCACATATATACGCGCATATCTTAAAAAATTCCCAACTTTTTCAAATTTGTGCTTTACCGTTCTACTAAACTAGCTTTCATAAATGGAAATTTAAAAAACCAAGACATTTTTGAGCGTCATTTAATTTAAAAAGATTTGTATTCAGCATAGTTTGCTAAAGCTTGAAATTTCTGTTCTGCCGAAATTAATTTAATTTCTAAAACTGTCGTCTTGAATTTTATGTCCATGTATTGCGTGTTTTACTTCATGTAAATGTTGCACTTTCTTTTACACCATCTGAAATTATTTGTTCTTCGGGTATTTGTTTGTCTCTATTTTCTAAAAGAGAATTCCTGTTCCGAGGCTCATCAATACCATGAGCTTGCCGTTTATGTTGTCTTAAAACATACATTTGAACGAACCCCACGCCACAGACATCACAATAAAATCGTTCGCCAGTATGGCGCCTATGATGTGCTTTCAAATCATTATTTTGCGCAAAAGCCTTGGGACAATACAAGCATTTATACGGTCGCTGAAAAAATATTAATTATAGTTATAAAAACACTTAAATATTATTTATATTCCTTACTTCGCCTGTGTGAATTCGCATATGAACTCGTAATTTATATGATGTTGAAAAGGCCTTCGGACAATTAGTACAATGAAAGTTTTTTTCTCCAGTATGTGATCTGCAAATTTATATTAAATTGACATGATGTGGATTTCTATAATACGAAAAAGTACCTTTCATGTGCGTATTGATCAGTTGTTCTAGGAAAGGCTTTATCGCAATATCGACATTTGTACGGTTTTTCACCAGTGTGTCTTCTTATATGTATCATGAGATATTGTAATTTTGTGAAACTTCCACCACATTCTGAACAAAGAAATTGCTTAGTCGGAGCAGTATAGTGTCCCTTACAATGCTTTTTATATTCAGTTGCACCAATTATTTTTTGTTTGCAATATTTGCATGTAAATTCCCTAGTTTCGTTATGTTGAATAGACATATGATCTTGAACATATTTTTCCGTCGAAAATTTTCTCATACATATTTCACATGAAAAAATTTTATCTCTTCTACGTCTTTTTCTTTCTGTTGAACAAGTTAGAAGACTGACATGACGTTTCAGATGCTCATTCCTGGTGAATGCTTTGTGACATATAACACATTTAAATGGTCTTAAATCGGCATGAAACCCACTTACATGATTTTTTAGATGATCTGATCTGGAAAATGATTTAGAACACATAGTACACGAATACGGTTTAGGGTCACCAGAATGCAAGAGTTTATGTCGTGTTAAATGAGCTGACCTTGTAAAATCTTTTTTGCATACATCACATTCATACTTTCCGTTAGAGTTGGGTTTAACTTTAATTCTAGGAATTTTGTTTTTTGATTTTATTACCATTGATTTCACAATATCTTGTGCGGTTTTAGTTTCATTTTTAATTTCAATGTTTAACTTTCCCAACAAATTTTTTTTACATTTTCCAGATAAATCTTCATCATCAGATTTCAAACTGTCTTCATATTTAAATTCACGTGCATTATTTATTTCATCATTATCTTCGCTTAAATTTATTAAATGCAGCTCGTTTTGGGAACCGGTTTCCATAGGCCTGTTAATGTGTAAAATTTTATAAACGCAAATCTACGAAATTGCAATTTTTCACAAGAAGTTCGTACTTACTTTTCACAAATAAAACTAGTGGGACACTTGTGATATTTTAAATCATCTTCAGTCTCATATTTTTGCAAACAATTTTCACAAGAGAATTCATATTTATCAATTTTTAATATGTTGAAATTTTTCTGCTGCGTTTTCTCATTGACTTCCATATTATCTTTTTCAATAACTACTTGCTCTGTTTTGTGGTCAATGGTTAAATGTTCTTTTAAATGACTTACTTGAGCAAATTCTTTTTCACATAATTGGCATTTGATACAAAAATTATCCTGCACATTCTCCCTTTCTTGAAATTTTTCTTCGTAATTGTGAATATTAAGTAGATGTCTTTTAAGAATATCTTTTCTTGTAAAAATTTTTTCACATAAATGACATTTATTATTGCAAGGGAAGCCAAGCTCTGGATGAGCTGAACCCAAATGATCTCTTAACGCAACAATTTTTGTAAAAACTTTTCCACATTTTCGGCATATATTAGGAGTTTTTTGATGTTCTTTTGTACGATGTTCTCTTAAGCTTTCTAAAAATTCATATTTTTTATCACATTTCTCGCACGGAAACATAAAGTTTGTGAAATCGGTTTGGGTTTGTTTCTCGAAGGTTTTATCAAAGTCAGCTTCATTCAGTATTGATTTAATCAATTTATCAGAATATTCGCACTGTTTTTTGAAAACGTAAGCAGTTTTAGCTTCCTCAAAACATTTCAAACAAATTTGATGGGGATGCAATGGTTTTTTATTTAACTAAAATATTAGGTAAGTACATAAATCATTGTCTGATTTTAATTTTATTCAAAATATTTACCTTCTCCGGTAAAAACTCCGACACAAGCGAATCTATTTCGTTGTTAAATAATGGTAACAAATTGCTTGTGCAATGTAAACAAATTCGACACACACTTTCAAGTTCTAGCAGTTCAAAATTGGGAGGAAGTTTTGGTTTAAATATGTTATACATATTTTTTGATTTTTAAACCTCTAAATCGTGTTAAATTAAAGTCTTGCAAAACTTCTAAATCTAGTTAAATTATAAAATAAATAACTAAATCTTGTTAAATAAAAATCAAGTCAATAGCAAATAGCAAAATTGGTCAAACTATGAAGAATCAAAACTAAGTTGAAATTTTATCAAATAGTATTACCACAGTACGGTTCTTTTTTATGTTCAAAATAAAATGCCAAAAAAAAAGGCTAAATCAAATAAAGTACATAATATATAAAGTCACTTAAATTCTATTATACGAATGAGAATTACAGATTTTATTTAAAAAAGTATTTGAGGCGTTCTAAGACACTATTTTCATATAACACAATAACTAAGGTACAGTTTATGCAAGCGACAAAATCTGTTTCGTAGATTTTTTTTGTGATATAACAATTCTATATAATTTTGCTAGTTTCATGCTGATCATCTATATCAGCATGAAACTAGCAAAATATCTAGATCATCTATATCAGATTTCGGCAAGAATTACTTTTTTTATTATTTTTGTTATCAACTGGTTTTTATGGCTGCGAAAAAAAATTAACAGGATTTCTTACATTCATTAGATAAGTGAAGTTCTTTGAAGAAACGAAAAAAACCATCGAATTCCCTAGTAGATTTAATCGAGATTATGCAACATTGTAAACAGTACTTTAGATAAACGTATATGTCATAAATTTTAAATAGTCGTCAACACTTTAATGTCAATCAATCAACTATACCACAACTTCACAGAATGCTGTTTATGTTTCGTTTTTTAATTTTTGTATCCTAATTTTCCTTAAAGACAGCTAACAAACAAAATAAATTAAAAAAAACTTTTAAAGAACTGTTTTTTAAAATAAATTTAAGAATGAACATAGAAATTGATATACAGTGTTGCAGAACCTGCCTTGAGTCAACTACTGAAAATTACCTTTTAGATAACACGGAGTTAATACAAAAAATAGAAATAACCACTTCTACAGAAGTAAGTGAAATATTAAATATATTAATTCAAGCTGTATGTATAAAGTTTTTCTTTTTAGATAAATAAATCAGATGGATTACCTTTGTATTTTTGTTCAACTTGTTATAATAAATTGGAAGTGGCTTATCAATTTCGTCAACGAAGTTTAAAAGCATCCAAGCTTTTAAAAGATTACATTAACAAAGTTAAAAACCAATTTAATGAAATATTTAAGCATAAATCTGAGGTACAAGAAGTCGAAAATTCTTTAAAGGATACAAAGTTCGATTTAAGTGACGATGAACAAGGTTTATTTGAATTTGAGTCAATTGAAACTGTTACGTTACAAAATAAAAAAAAAGTTCTCACTCTTGATTTTCCTTTAATTAACAAAGTTGAAAATATTGACAGTGATGTGGAATTCAATTATGCGATTGATAATGTTAATCAAGTATATGAAACTTTAGAAAAGGAGAATGACGCGAAAGATATTTTAATAACGCAGAGATTAAGTGAAAGAGTGAAGGAAATTGTTCGTGAAACTAGAAGTTCCCTAGATGTTAAAGTAGCTAAAGTTCAATTCGGTTCAAAAGATTTAGTAAAATGTGAAAAATGTGAAAAAGTATTCAAAAAAGAAAATTTGGTTAGACATATGGTAAGAAATTATTAATTTAACAAACACGCTCCTAATACCATCTCCAATCTTAGGCTGCACATACAGGAGAAAGCCGATTTAAATGTCACATATGTAATAAAAATTTTACGCAGAAAACTGGACTAAATCGACATATTTTGATTCACACTGGTGAAAGGTAAAAATTAATATTGTTTAATTAATTACAGACAAAAAATAAAATACAGAAGCATAACGAAATTTTATTTCTAGGCCATATAAATGCGACAAATGTGGAAAAAAATTTTCTCAATCGAAATCATTAAAATTTCATATGGCAGTTCATGGTATAAATAATTCATTTAACTGTACAATTTGTCACTACAAATTTATTAAGGCGGAAAATCTAAAGGTATAGGAAAAGTACCCTTAATTTTTAACAGGATTTTTTTCTATTTATAATTTTTGTTATAGTTTTAATTCAAAAAAGTTAAGAGATTCTTGTTTAATTAGACTTTATTTTCTAGATTCATATGAGAGAAAAACATTCTGCTGGATCTGAGACGACATCTTTACACGTATGCGAATTTTGCAAAAAATCTTTCAAATTAAGATATTCTTTGAACACCCATATCAAGAAATACCATAAAGACGAACTTACTATAGACATGAATTTTGACGACGAGGATAAAGAAACGGAAAGTGATTGAATTTTTCCATCATCAATTAAACAAATGCTTCAGATATAAAATATAACTTATTTTTAAGAATAATTTTTAAATAAATCTATAAAATACATTAAATTAATAATAATAATTACATATATTTGAACGGTAATATAATGAACGGGTTAAATTTTAAAATTATTTATTCATGTACATATGTTTTTACGTATCTACCTACATACATACCTAACTATATATGTACATACAATATGCCTTTTTAAATTTAACTCAATTTATTTAATTATTATTTTAAATGTTTAAATGAGTTTATTTTATTGAACAAGTGTGTGAATATTTAGTTTTTCAATGAAATTGTTTAAACAAATTAAATAAAATTTTATAACATTTAGTTAAAAAACTTGAATAGGAAAAAAAACAAAATTCTGTGTTGATTGACAGTTTGTTAATCTAATTTTCTATTAAAAATAATTTTTTATTTAGTATTTAAGTATAATAAACTGATAAACGTTTTACTAATTTTAAAGTTCTTCAAGCAAATTCAGTTCTTCAATATCTCTAAAAGGTCGTGGTTTATTAAATCTAGAGTATTCTTAGTCTACATTTTATAAAACTTTTAATGAATAATGTGATAAAATATGTATGTACATATCGGAGTAACATGGAATCAGTTGGGAAATATATTCAAAATTTTCCCCTCCCATATTAATTCTGCGCCTTTATTAAAGCATTTTGTTTGTCATATTTGCTGCAAACCATAAATCTTTTGTAATATTTAAGTTTTAAAAATTTCCGGTTACAATAATTCTAGTGTTCGTGTGTCAGAAATTTCCTTTAGCATATTTTAAAAAAAATCCTTTTGTATGAAAGTTGCTTATTGAAATAGCAAAAGTATAAATAAAAGATTTGATTGTTGAACGAGTGGCATTCATGATAGAGCTGGTAATCTGACCATTTTCTTGTGTACGCGACTCCGTTCAATAAAATCAAAGTCTACTTCTGTCACAGTAAATTTATACATGTAATTTTTTTCCGAACTTTTCTCAAAGATTTGTGTTCGATTTTCGTTTTGATAAACTGACACTAGGTGGCGGTCAGAACTCACGGTTAAACCAATTTGTATGATAAACTTTTAAAAATTGCTAGTATGACATTACTTTAATACACTTTACATTTTTGCAGATATTTTTCAAACTGTAAACACCTTGCAGACAAGATAACTAATGTCAAAATAACCAATTGAAGAAAAGCACACATAATTCATCATAAACTAAAATTTGTATTTAAAAAAAAAAAAGTCTTAATGAATGTCGAAATAGATACAAAATGTTGCCGAACTTGTTTGGAGTCAACTGTGGATAATTATTTAGTAGACAATCCTGAATTAGTGAAAAAAATTGAATTTGTAACTTCTTTAAGAGTAAGCTTCTTAGTTTATACATAATGCCTAGATTAATGTTTTCAATTTGAATATTTCAGATAAGTGAAAATGATGGTTTACCAATATACTTTTGCAACTCTTGTCAAAAAAAATTAGAAATTTCATATCAATTTAGATTACAAAGTATTCGAGCATTTAAATACCTTAAAAATCACATAAACCAAATTCAAAATCAATTCGAAAAAATTATTAAAAAAAATCCCATTTCTAAAAAAGAAAGCGATAACAATTCTTGTCAGGAAGAGCCTGACAACGATGAGATCGAATATGAAGAGATTAAAGAATTGAAGATTGAGAATCAAGAAGATCCTTTAGATTCAGTAGAAAAACCGAAATCATCTAAAGCTAAAAAGAAAAAAATAAACACTACTTCATTTAAAAAAAAACAAAGCAATAAAAATTCTTCAAAGACTAATGAAGATTTCAAAGAAATAAATGTACATAAAATTAATAACGATGATATTTTTAATGAAAACAATGGTATTGAGTATTCAAAATGCGATATTTGTCAAAAAATGTTCAGAAAAGGGAATCTGAAACGGCATAAGGTTTGTATTTTTGCCAAAAAACGAATTACTTATATGGAACGATATTTTTTAAGGAAACCCATTCTGGAGATCGTAAATTCACTTGCCAATTGTGCAATAAGTCTTTCACACAAAAATCGTCACTTCAACGTCACCATTTAACCCATACTGGTGAAAGGTTAGAATTTTTAGAATAAAATTTGCTATAATCTCATTTTCTTCCTAATTTTAGACCATTCAAATGTGATGTATGTGATAAAAGATTTTCCCAGTCCAATATATTGAAATTTCACATGACACTTCATGGAAAAGAAAAAACGTATAACTGTTCAATATGTCCTTACAGATTTATAAGACCAGAAAATTTAGCGGTAAGTTATATTTTAATAAAATATATTTTATCGATAACTGAAAACATTAAGAATTACTAAATTTATAGAATCATATGAGAGAAAAACATTCATCAGGGAATGGAGATGAAGTGATTTTGTTTGTGTGCCAATTTTGCAACAAGGGATTCAAATCTAAACATTCATTAAAAGTACATAAAGAAAAATTACATAAAGACGATATCGTTTTCGATATGGATTGGAGTGATATTAATGATGATGATTCTGATGATGCAAAATGTTAATTTTAAACGAATTCGTTCAAATGAAATCAATAAAAGTCTAGAAAGTAAAAGTAAATTATAAGACACTAATCACATTGTGTTTTAGTTGAATAAGACAGCTTTGCAAATTAAAAAATGCATTAATTATACGAACGACACCATAAGTAGAAAAAAAGTATTGATCAAATTAATGTTATCAGGACATTTTTCCAAGTATCACCTCTCTGGCTTGTCAAATTAGACTCATAGGATTCGTGAGGCTTTACACTTCTGACTAGGATCTAGGAATTTGTGGTCAAATATTAAAAGAATAAACCGAATTTCGGGTTTAGTAAAAATATTTCTCTAAAAAAATATGTGCGGTTGCAAGTAATGGTAAATAGCATGTATAAAGTACATACTGTTGATTCGTTAAAATCTGGTGAATGATTCTATCGTTCTTTAAATTCAATTCTGCCTTCTCTATATATTTTAGTTGGTAATAAGATAAGCACGAACAACAAAGTTTTAAAATGGTGTACCTGCAAAAAGGTATACAACTTCACACAAACCAAACTGTCCAAAAATAGTTGGAAATATTCTTTTAATGGAATGTGATTCTGTATAAAATATTCTAATGTATGTACATAAGCACATCTAATATCTAAAGTTATTCCTTGTGACTTGTCAGAATGAAAATAAAATAAGTTACAACGTAACTTCCAAAAGGTTCTTTAACGAGACGGTATTAGATTTAAACTCAATTATCTTAGCAACAAATAATATTAAGCTTTGTCTCGTGATCATCAAAAATTATTATTTAATTTTTATCATATACTTTGACGTTGTCAAAAAATTACTCAGTTTTTCTAATCAAGTTGTTTTAGAGTTAGACCTTCGAGGGTTATTATTTATTAAAACATTTTAGATTTTGTGTCATAAATTGACTTAATTTTGTGGGTTTAGCTACATTATTAGATATTTTGCTGTCAACACTACACTTAAAAAACGCATTTAGAAAAATAACACGGCAGTTCTGTAAAATATTGACATTAAACAAATGTCAATTGTCAGTTGTTCAATCTTGTTGATCGCATTGAAAATTATAATCAATAGCAAAATAAAAATAAATTTCAATTTTTATTTCATATTTAGTACGAATTAATTTTTGAGTAATAAAGCAAAATAATACAAATGAACGTTGAAATAGATTCAAAATGTTGTCGAACATGCTTGGAACCAACGGCGGATAACTTTTTATTTAAAAATCCAGAGCTATTAAAGAAGTTGCAATTTGCTACATCTCTAAGAGTAACTCATTTTGTATAAATTTTATTCAATTTCCCTAGTATAAATTTACTTTTAATAGATTATTGAAGGAGACGGTCTGCCTATATATTTTTGTAATTCTTGTAAAACAAATTTGGAAATAGCATATCAGTTCCGTTTGCAAAGCATTAGATCATTTAAACATCTTAAAAATCACATAAATCAAATTCAAAATCAATTCAAAGATATTATTAGAAGCAGCTCGGATATTAAAATAGAAAAAAAAGATATGGTGTATTTATTGAATACTGGCAAAGACAATGTTTATGAACAAAAAGATAGTAGTGCTAAGCGATTCCCTAAGATTGAAGCTACATATTTTGAAGAAATTTTAGAAAGCGATCATTCATCTTCTAACATAGATTCTAAACCATTAGAAGTGGTAAGAAAAAGTAAAAAAACCAATATAATAACGGATGAAGATGCAACACATATAAAAACAAAAGGCGGTGTAAAAGTAAAAAAAAATACCAAACCTACTTCAAATACAAGCAATGATGATGCATTCTGTGAAAATGACGGTGTTGAATTTTCGAAATGCGATATTTGCCAAAAAATGTTTAGAAAAGGGAATTTAAAACGTCACAAGGTAAAAATTTAGCCTATAGTTTAAAAATTTAGATATTGCAACTTTTTGTTTTTAAGCAGCAAACACATACAGATGATCGAAAGTTCTTATGTGAAATTTGTAACAAATCGTTTACACAGAAATCGTCACTCCAAAGACATCATCTTATTCACACCGGCGAAAAGTAAGATTTTTCTAAGATATTTGTTTCAAAATATATTTATGAATTTTTCAATAACATTCAAGACCATATAAATGCGAAACATGCGGAAAATGTTTTTCACAATCGAAGACTTTAAAGTTTCACATGGCCCTGCATGGTGAAGATAAAACATACAATTGTTCAGTTTGCCGTTATAGATTTATTAAAGCAGAAAATTTAGCGGTAAACTCTAAGTGATATTGAATTAATTTTTTATTATATTTTTATATAAAATAATTATAGAACCATATGAGAGAAAAACATTCTTCTGCAAACACAGATGAAGTAGTCTTATTTGTGTGTCAATTTTGTAATAAAGGCTTCAAATCAAAATATACGTTAAAGGTTCACAAAGAAAAGTTGCATAAAGGAGATATAGTATTTGACATGGATTGGAGCGATATTAATGATGAATCCGACGAAGCAGAATAAAGTTTTATTAGTTTGTAGTACCATTTAATTTTTAAACATTTTTAATATCATAAGTTTTATAGTTCAGTTCTATTGACTGTTTAAATCTTCAGTGAATAAGAATGTTATGTTCATAATTTTATAAAAAATTAAGTAAAAATATTTCTTATAATTTCGGCCTATTTAAATTAAATTTTCCCAATTTCGAAAATTAATAAGCTTTTAATAGAAGATCAACCAAATTTAAAACAGAATATGTGCTCTATATAAATACTACATTATTTACAGTACTTATACTTTGAAATCCTTAGAGTTAATGTTGAGTAAGAATTTTTAAAACTAATTTTTTTGACTGACTAAATAATTCGATTAAGGGAAGTGCGAGGCGAACCTGTAGAATATTATTTATATGTATGTACACAAAGTGCATAGTGTATATTTAGTTTAATACAAAATTATTTGGAATTTTCATTATTAAAAGTTTTGTTTAATTTGCAAATTTTTTTCAAAAACTAATGGAAGGTCAGCTTGCTTTTTATATACATATTCCAACCTAAGGTGAATGTTTTACGAAAGGTTGTCTTTTGACGAAGTTCCAAAAGCTTTGAATTTGAAAATTTGGTCTTAACAGAAAAATAAGTCAGAGTTTAAAACTGAAAAAAATTTTGTAATTTATTTTAACATTTTTCATTCTCTTATATGTTTTTTTATTACAAGGGAATAATAATAACCTTCATCTTAAATACAAAAAAGTATATGTATTTTTTTATACAATTTTATTTTCCTAAATTTAATAATTACGCAAATCGAGTTTTCAGAGCCAGATGGTTTCTGTTTAAAAAAAAAACACTAATTTTTATAAAAGAAAAATTAGAACTCACTTGTTAAAAATTTTGCTTTAGTTTTTTTTTAACTTCATAGTTTTCAATTGTAAGTTGGAAGCATATTACGATAATTTTAATTTTAATAAATCTTATTTAAACATGAAAAAAAATATTCATAGTCCTTTTTACATATTTGTTTTAATACTTATTTATGATTCCTTAGGCTAATGGTGGCATTTTCATTATTTTTCTTTTTTTTTCAACTGAAGAATATATAAGGATAAATACGACAAAAACACTGTTTCGGTGAATTTTTGGCCCGCAGATTTCGTATTGTGAGAAGGGTATTAATTTTTTACTAATTTGATTGAGATTTGCAATCTGTTTTGAAAGGCTGTTGTTGAAGGAACGAAGCTTTTCGTACTGTTTTAAATTTTTCTAAACTATTACCATTACAACAGATAAACAATCTCGTTAAGATATTTTGTAAAAATTTATCCATAGATCACGAACTGCTCATCATGGAACCATCACCCATACGACGTTTTTTCTTTTTTTTTGCAGTTAAAGATTCTTGGCCACTATCAGAATCGGAATCATCGTTATCTGGTTCACTTTCAGAACTTGAAGATGATGAAGAAGAAGATGACGAATTACTGCTAGAATCCGATGCAACACCTGTGCTTTGTTCAATATTAATACTTTCAGCAATTTTTGCAAGTTCTGGTTCTTTTTCCTAAAATAAATAAAAGTATTTTACGATTTATAAAAGATAATTAGGCAAAGAATAATACCTGCAAGACTTTGAACCATTTTCTTGACAACTTTGGTCTCCCCCGTACTGTTTTATGCCAAACTATTGGGAAATTGGTTCTGCTGCAAAAATTTTGAGTAATTGCAACAGTATTATCCAAATTTAATACAACATGCCACCATCCACCAGGAACGAAAACTGTTTCTCCAGGCCTTTGTAAGATTTCTAACTAAATTCAAAAGAAAAAAAGTTAATATTAAATATTTACATACCTATATCATGTTAAAATCAATTACTGGTTTATATTGTTCTGGCCAATCTATCATTTTTGTTTTAGGATAAATAACATTGAACCATGTTATCGCTTCATCACGCTGATTTCCACCCATCGCCCCCGTAACTTTTAACATTTCTTTTGGTGTATTTGTTGGAAATAGACACCATCGTTTGTGACCAAAAACTAAAGCATTCCAAGCACTTGTCCCCAAAGGATCAATATGTATACCAGTACCGGACCTTTCTGGTCCCATAACAAACCATCTATAGGGTGGACGTCTTTCTTCACCAGCATGTTTAAATAAATCATCACGAAAATATTTTGGTATTGTATAATCTTCCAATAACTTTTTTCGTCGGTGATGTTCACCAAAGCTACTATCAAAAATATACAAAGGGCTGTCATCTTTTGTTGAAGTCATATACTCTATATAATATTTCATTTTCATTTTAACACTATAACCTTCATTGTCTTCTCCGCATTTAAATTTTTGATTTCTGTATTTTTTCATAAGGCGTGGTAATGTCCACTTTTCATGAGCTTTCCATCCTTCTTGCAATCCATCTATTACAACTGGTTTATAAATTTTTTCATATTTTTCTATAAATTTTTCGCAATCAAAATCTTTGGCATTTATGCGCTCTACATTATCAGTGAACTTTTTAAATTCGTCAAAGCGATCCGAAAATCTCTGTGCAATCCAAGCATCCTTATCATTCAATTCTTTGATTTTACAACAAAATGTAAAAAAATAACAATCTTTTAATTTACCTTTGTTTTGTTTTAATAGATGTATGAATATAAATTTGGGAAGGCCTACACGTACATACCTTATGCAAATGTATTCATATACAAAAATATTTGAAAAATTTTTTCGTATTACATACGTACATACATACATGTCGATTGAAAACTCAATTATTGAATTTAATAACTAGTTTCTGAGAAAACATAGGTTTTTTTCAAGAAAAACGTGCATTTTATGCACAAGCATATGTATATGCAAAATATAACTAGAAGATTTTTTTTTACAATTTAAATTATACAGGTATATACATGCAAAATTAAGCATTTTTTATTTTTTACAATCGAGAAAATTCTTACCTGGCCTGGCTTTTCTCTTTACTTCCCGTACGCGTTTTCTTGACCGATGTGGCAGTTTAAATTCTTCAGTCATATTTTTAATTATTTTTACAAATTAATAAAAAATTAGTTTTAATTAATTTATTAAAAGCAATATATTTTTTAATTATAAAAAGTTGAAAAAGAACTTCAATAAATTTAACAGCAACAACACAAGATGAATAAAAAAGTGCAAGTGAAACCTCTTGTTGTCAAATTAATTTTTTTGAAGCAAGAGAGAGCAGAGAATGGCGTACGTGACTTTTGAAGACTTTTCAACTCAAAAAGTTTTATTAGAAAAATGTGTCAAAAATAAAAGTCAAAATTATTTAAGCGGGATTTATTAGTTGTTCGGTTTTGCGATGAGTTGATTTATTTTGCATGAAATTGACATTCTCTTCATTTTTAGAGTTTTTTTTCTTTCACTCAATAAGTTGGATGAAATTGAACCTAAGAGCGGAAGTTTTTTTTTTAATAAGTGGTATTGTATTAATTTAGTTGGTCTTTTGCTTTTGTAAAAAAAGTGTCAAGTAAAAAGTGAGATAAAAAAATCCGCTCATCTTTAAATCATGACGACGAGTCAAGGAAGAATTTTGAAGTGGAAAATTTGTTGGACTTGAAATAGCTCAGTTTAAAAGCGACAAAACAATGAATACATTTTTAGTGTTAATTGTTTAATAGTTCCGAATTCCAATATTGCTAGAATGGATGTTATAGAAGTGTAAAGTATATACGATATAAACTGGTTTTTTTGAAAGTGGTTTAAGTCCACTTGTTAAAAAGGCTAAGTTAATGGTAATTTTAGTGATTTATAGACAACTTCTCTCCACTATTTACAATCAAAATTTCAAAAGAGTTCTATGTAGACATAAAATTAACAAATTATGTTATTATGGCCAGAATATTTAAATTGATTCAAACGCAAGCCCATAAATATCTGAATATGTAAAGAAATGGACTTATACCACTTTCAAAAAAACCAGTTCATATAATATTTATCAGTTTTTCAACATTATAAGAAAAAAAAGCATTTTTTAATTTTTGTATTAAATTTTAAATCAAGCATATAAAAAAAACTCGCAGATACAAAACATATAATAAAAAATTAAAAATATTTTAAAATATGTAATTACTTAAGCATTTTAGTAATTACTTGTTTTTAGCATTAAATTCTTAGAAATTATTTAGAGTCAGTGAAAGAAACTAAAAGACCAACAAGGAGAAAAATTGTTCAAAAAACTAAACTCTTTTCTTAACAGATTTTCTTTTGATGAAATAAATAAAAAATTAAAAAACACCACTTTTTATTTTACAAATACAGTTTCAACATCAAGTCTATATTTTTAAAAAAAGGTAAAACGCTCTACATGTAAATTGTCAAATGTCATGGCTCATATTGTATATACATAATACATTACTGTTGACAGCAATAATATTTTTTTGATATTTTTGTTATATCAAGATTATACTTACATACATATAATAATATGTAGATTAAATTTTATAAACTAATTTTGTTTTTAAGAAAATATGATAATATTATAAATTTATGAACAACAAATAGCAACATTAAAATTAATGACGAAATTTTATTATCAACAGTAACAATATTAGAAAAAATTAATGGCAAATTTTGAACCAATTCCACATGAAAATTTTTCCGCAAAAGATATTGATATTGTTTGTCGTATTTGCTTACTTCACAAGCAAATATTATATTCTATTTTTGATCACGATATTGATAAAATACTGCTAGCTATTGTACGGTTTCCGGTAAGTTCAAATCTATGATTTGTGTGATTTTATTAAGCTAAATTTTTCAAAACCCTAGATTACTAAAAATGATGGTTATCCGCATCAGATTTGTTCTAAGTGTTACAAAGATGTCGTGACAGCCTATCGTTTTAAAAGGCAATGTGAATATGCATATAATATTGTTAAATCTGTTTTAAAAACTTCAGAGATTTCATGCAATAAGTGTTCGACAAATTTTTGTAGCAATTCGAATTTAAAAAGACATTTAAAAAACATTCATAGGATTGATTGGAACATAGGGACCCCACTGCCAAACGTGTCTAACGTAATTCAAAATGCTCATTCAAGTAGTTTCAATGAAGAGGACAATATTGGAGAAATTGCGAAGAAACACGATGGTTATGTGTATGAAGAAAACAAGTAAGTATATAATATAAGAAGATAAGTTATGTTTGCATAATAATTTCAAAATGAAACAATAAATTTTTAGGTTATTTGTAGATCCGGTTGTTGAAAACAATGTTGTGGAAAACTGCACTAATACAACCCTAGACATAAAAGCCAAAGTTGCAAAATATGAAATTAGCGAGGCTTCAGAAATAGATATTGAAAATTCTGAAATTAACGCAAATATTTCTTTCATTCCAACTAAAAAGCCAACTTTTAAAGAATTAATATTATCGAAATTTGATAAAAACGAAGTTAATATTCAAATATTGAATTATCTGGATCTCATGCCAGTAGATAATCGTGCAGAATATGAAAATTTGGCGCAACAAAAAAGAGATCAAACAAAAAGAGCCTATGAAATCTTACGTAAAGTAGGTAGAAGTAAGACTCGAGCATTAATTACAAAAAATAAAGTAGCATTGAAGTTTAGTGAAAATGAAAAATTCGAGTGTTTAGAATGCAAAAAAAAAGTTGAAAACGCTGAAGATTTTCGACGTCATCAATTATCTCATGCAGAAGAACCAAAACCTTATGCTTGTGGAATGTGTTCCAAATTATTTTCACATTTAGATTACTTAAAGTATCATTTGAAAGAATTTCATCAGAATGTAAAATTAGACCAAAGTTTTCAATGTTATATATGTAAAAGACTACATACGTGTTCTTCAGATCTTTCGGATCATATTAATATTTGTTTGGGGGAAAAGCGCATATTTTCAAAACAACCACTTTTTCAAATCAAAGAAAAGGAATGTAAAGAGGACACCGTGGTTTACTCAAATCCAAGCGATGGCAATTCTAATCAAGTGCAACACAATTTTGATAAATTTAACTATCAAAGTTTCAAAAACGAAGCTTACTATAGCAAAGCGCAGAACCTTAACGGAGAATCAATTCAATACAGCAAAAGTAGTTTTAAATCAGGTAATGAAAATCCTCTCCATTCTCGGGAAGAAACGAAATCTAGAGAATTTTTCAAAAATTTATCAGATCATTCAGTTTTGGAGCTAATCACAAAGAAAATTCAAAGCATTAAAAGAAATGATAATGGAAAATTCGAATGTGAATTATGCCAAAAAGAATTTAACCGAAGAGCTCATGTAAAACGTCATTATTTAACGCATTCAACAGCAAAACCGTTTGCATGTAAATTCTGTAGCTCTCGATTTTCCTGTGCTGAATACCTTCAAACTCATATGAGCAGAGTTCACTGGGTCAAAAATTTCCAGTCCATTAAAAATAAACCAAGGGAATCGTCAAACTCACAATGTTTTACACCACATGAAACTGTAGTCAGAAGAAGAAGAATGATTGACGTGATAAAAACATCCGACGGAAAATACCAATGTAAATTCTGTCAAAGGCTTTTTAGTAGGTCAGATCATGTTAGAAGACATGAAGTAATACACTCACCAAAAAGCTTCAAGTGCACATTGTGCCCAAGAAAGTTTTCAACGCCAGACAATTTGAAAAAGCATCTTGTTACTTGTATTGCCAAAAAAGATTTGGAAGCTCAAGACTATCAGAGATTATTAAGTACAGGATGGAAACCTTCAAAGATATTAAAAGATTCGAAAAAGTAATGAATGTTGTTATTTGCAAGATTAAAAAAGTTGTTTTAAGTTTTATTAAAATTCGCATAAATTAGACTTACTAAAATTAAAATTTTGTGGCACCTGTAAACCGGTTGTAACAATATTTCTTAAAAAATTAATACATTCCAATTCTTGTTCTTCGTGCATATTATAATGCAAGAATGAAATTTTAATAGACATACTAAAATATTAAAACAAACACTGTTGAGTTTATTGAGTAATCATATTTCACTTTTAATGCTGCAACATAACTTACTTTTATAATATTTAACAATATTTTTACCTTAATATACGAATTTTACTCTTGAGTAGCTAAATATAAATTTGAAACTGTTCATCTGAATACCCAAAAAATAGAAAATTCTTTTTTGGTAACATTTAGGTAACATGTTACAGTGTTATGTTGTGGACATTTTGCAGATGGTCGCTTAATGTGTATTTTGAACGATAACTTTTATAGCAAATTTGGCATTTATGTTCTATTGTATCTCCTTCCCCATGAAATCGATTTCTATGCACCTAAGGTTTATGAAAAGATAATTTTCTTGTTAGTAATATTACTATATGGGAAAGCAATGCAGGGTTTCGAGATCAAAAATTGTTCATAGATTTTGTTTAATAAGTGCATTCTGACAATTGAATTGTATTCAATTTTCTTTTTTTTTTGACACAAAACTGAAAAACTTTCGTCAAATCTTCATCAAATTGAACAAAATTTGAATATAATATTTGTCGTGTAAACCCTGACTAAGGTACAGCTCTTAAGGAATATTTTGTTTTTTGTATAATTAATACTTACAAGCAAAGTTCTTTTAACTGTAAATTTCTGATCACACTGCTTACATGCATATTTTTTTATTTTTGTGTGGGTTAAAAGATGCCTTTTGTAAATTTGTCGACGAGAAAATGCTTTCTGACAAATATCGCATTTAAAAGGTTTTTCACCTGAAAATTATTGAAATTATTAAATTTACTTGCTATTTAAAATTAGACAAAATGTTTTTTACCTGTATGAGTGAGCATATGTTCTCGAACGCTATTTAATTGAGTAAAAAGTTTACCGCATGTTTCGCAACTATAAGCTTTACGGCGATTTAAATGAATTTCCATATGACGGTCTAAGTTAAGCTTAGTCGTAAATGTATTATCACACTCGCCACAATGAAAAATGTCATTTATTACCCCAGTCATTGATCTTCTTTTCTTCATTTTTTGTGAAAAATCTCCCTCACCTAAAACTGATGATACTTTTATTATATCCGGCAGATATCGACGCTTTCTGTATTTTGTGTTTTTATTTTTGGTGTCAGAGTTATCATTTTTGTTGACCGAGTCAGAAGAATCATCGTTTTGAAAATTAAGATTCAAAGAATCTTCTGTGTTCAATATATAATTGTCACTATTTTGGGAATCTTTTGAATCATATTCTGTTTTTATTTTGTTCTCGTTTTTGTTTTTGAAATTAGGAATATGAACATCGGAATCTACATATTTTTTAAATTTTATTAATTTGTTTATGTCTGTAGGAATTTCATCACAATCTATTGCATTTGTTTCATCCATTAATTCTTCTATATCATCATATTCCTCATCATCGTGTACATCAACAAAATTTACTTTAATTTCATCGCATGGTTGATCCAATTTTGTCTCCTTCTCATCAACTACTTCAGAGGAAGTATTTTTTGTACTGATTTGGTCCGGATACATTGCAGCTAATTCATGTACATTAATGTCAGATATTGAATCGTCGACTGAAAGTTTTGTTTTAGATGGCAAAGCTAAGAATGTTTCATTTATTTTCTTTAGATATGATCTCAATTCTGAATCAGTAGCTATTGCTTGCTTTTTAAGATGGATAGAAATACGAAGTGATAAGTAACATTTTTCACAAAGGCCAGAAGGTAAATTGTCTGTTTCCGAAGCCTGAAAAAAATGATCTAATTTATCAAAAAATTACTAACTTTTTTAAGAGATTAAAATACTATAGCATTGTAAAATATTATTTTTTCATAATAAAATTATTAACGGTATGTTTAAAAATGTACATAATATATATTTCTCAATTGTACTGTAAAATACAATTCATAAATTTACCCAAAATTTATATACGATTGTACTTATTTACCTCCAATAATGTAACAAAAGAAAAACCTTTAGTTGTAGAATCATTTTCGAACAACGAATATACACCTTTTGATTTTAAACATATTCGGCAAACACTAGAATCAAATTTTAATTTGAATTGCATGATGTTTTCTTTTTATAAAAGAAGAAAAGTAACTTTTTAATAAAAATTATTAGAATTTAAGTATATTTTGACACTTCAATTTGTACTAAATGTATATTCGGTACTTTCAAACAGTGTTCGCTAAATCATAATCATAACTTATAGTTGATTATATACAAAATCGATTACTTTATTTTCTTAAGATGATTGTTAAGAGTTTTTGTTGAACATAAACAGGTCAAAAAATAGTGTTTTCCGTTTATCAAAATGGGCCATTAATACCATTTATTTTTGTAAGAAGTGAACATCAACCCATTTAAATTTGTAAAACAAAATAAGGAAAATCTTAAAATTTTAACAAAATTCTGTGGTTAATAGTTTTAAAAAGTAAAGAATGTAAAAGCATTAATTTACCCTAATTTAAAAAGAAATGTCAATATCCAAAGTATTAAATTGAATATCAAAAATGTATTTGTTTTACCACTATTAACTGTTTCACAAATTCAATCTTATTTATGTCAATTTTGAATTTTTTACATGATATATTTTTTTTCTGCAAAAAAAGAACTTAATTAAGATAAAAATTATCACGTGTCATAATTTCATGGTGGGCACATAGTTTCGCCGTTGTGCCCACCATGAAATATTGTGTTTAAGTTGTGCGCGTTAGTAAATTAAACCAATTATAAAATGGCCGTTAAAAAGAAGAACCTTGCGATAAAGTTCATAAATTTTTGGAGAGGGAGGAAGAAACTGTACTAAAAATAAAGAGAATGTCAATTTCATACAAAATTGAAAATACATAAACTAGTCACGAAACCGCCGAACTAATGAATTCTGTTTTAAATGCATTATAATGATTTATTTGACAAACCTCAGTTTTTGATAAAAGCACAAAACGTCAACACTTACGACAACACTTATTTTGTTGACAATTACATTTTTAAAAGTCAAATAGAAATTAAAATGAGATGGTAGCACTTTGAATGTCAAATTTAAAATTAACTGATTTTATACATAAGTTAAAATGAGTTAGATATAATTACATATGTTCGATATACTCTTCACTCTTTCACAAAAAAATTATGATAGAACGTTTTTTTTTACAGCTTAAATACAGAAACGGAGAAAACCCCATAAAGTTCGGGTAGATCGCCGCGAACTTTTTTTTTTTAGCAAAAGGAAAAAAAAAGAAGTGAATTTTAAAGTTATTTTTTGTTTAACAAATGAATTATTTATTTCAATTTAGTATCAAAATAATTTAGCTAATATTCAGATTCAATATCATTTGGAATATTGTTTAAAAGGCTGCAGTAATTACATCGATTTTATTGAAGAAAATTGAATTATTTGTTTGCAACATTGGAAAAGCAAAAAATAGCTATATTTCGTCATCAAAGTTGCAACTAGCTTGCTAAATAAATGATCTAGAACTACATACCTACATAATATATTGCGGGAAATAATTTTTTTTTTTTTTTGGTTAATTTTTTGTATGCAATGTAAAAAAAAGTTCCTCTTTGATTTGAAAATTCAATAGTAATTGTCATCAAATTGAAAAGTTTTAATTATTATTGCGAAAGGAAAATTTTTCTCTCAATTAGAAAAATTATTTTGGTTGAGAAATTAAAAATATTACATATTTAGAATTGAAGAAAAAAAATTGAATAATATCACCAATTTTGTGATTCTTATTGCTGTTGGAAAAAAAATTAATTAGAATGTGCATATGTTAAAATTTGTAAATTTAAAAAAATTTAATAATAAAAACAGCATTTTTCTTAAAGTTTTTTGAGTCGATTGTGTGAGAATTTGAAATAGAACACGAAATCTAAAAAGGGAGAAAAATACTAAGCGACAAAGGAAATTTTTTATATTTTATTTTGTTAAAGTAGGCGAGAATATAAATTAAAATTAATAATAATTTACGATTTTTTTTTTTTTTAAATAACTTTGATTTTTTATAATAAAAAGTGTATTTAATTATAAAAGAAAAGAATAGCTACGAAAATCTTTTAGAATGGATTGCGTTAGTGTTGGAATAAGTGTCAGTATTAAACGAACTGATGGTAAGTAGTGATTTTTTTTTTGTTGTCAACTAAATATGTAATTTTTGAAAAATAAATGAATAATTGTAAAAAAATCGATTTTAGAGGTAGTTTTAGTTGAGTTTTTTTACCCGGCATATTAATATAATGAAATAAACTGCTTATAAGTAGATATAATATGTATATAGTATATACTCAGGTATATATTTTCCGTGTTAAATACATATGTACATAGATATGTGTACTTACCTGCAAGTAAATGCTACCTTGCCTAATAAGAATTAACCTAAATAGGTTCTTATTACTTGCACTTCGAATATATTAAAAATAAAATTGAAGGTCAAATTTTTACAATTAGATAGAAAGGTAGATAGGTACTTACTTATATGCCTAGTAGACACTTGCATAGCTACTCCTAATTATTTAAAGTTAAATTTGTAGTAAAATCAATTCTATTAAATCTATTAAATTTTTCTCAAAATATAAAATCCAGAACAGATTTCTTTGTTATATGTTGGAATAAAATTATAATACTTTCAGAATAATTGAATCCTTCTAAAGAATGCTAACTAAAAATTATCCTAGTATAAAGAATTCTAATTTTTGCTTTTCAAATTAAAAAAAAAACAATAACGAAACGGCAGCAAATAGCGCATGAAGTAAATTTCTCTCTTCCTACGGATATACTTTTTTACAAAAGTAACAATGAATAAACTCAAAAAGCATAAGGGGCATTCATTTAGAGTAGTCACAGGCAAAAAAGAAGGAAGAAAGTCTCTTCAAAATAATTGTGATAACTTTTAAACATTATAAGTGAATTTTCGATATTGTTGCGAATATGCATTACAATTACAAAACTATTCGGGGAAAATATAATTTAAATGACAAATATATTTGTGTTATGATAGTAATTAATAAATGGTTTTTAATAATTTTGAAATGATTACGAATTTTAGATTTACCTAATCTTAAACACTTTGCCAGTTTTAAGTTTTGAATTATGAATAAATTTTACTTGCATGCCATTTAGCAAGAGACATTTAATTTACTAAAAATATGTAGGTGGTATCGATATTAAAAATAGAAACTAAGTTGAGATATTATTCATTATTATGGCATAGAAAAGACAACTATTAAAATATAAATGTATAAAATTCGTTATTGTAAATCAAAAAGCGAAAAAAAGCAGAATATAAAAAAATCATTAAAAAATTTTAGTTATTTTTTTGCAACTTTTTTTTTTTATTTTTTATTTGCAAAACCTACTCACTTTTTTGTGAATATTTTGAAACTGTTTTAACTCTTCATTACTTGTTTTATTTTTCTTACTATTTTATTCACATTGTCAGAAGTGACCTTTTGAATTTGAATGTTTTTATTTTATTGTTTTTGTGATTATTTTAATCGAGTTTTAAAACAAAACTTTTGAAAAAATATCAAATATAATTTGCAAAATTTTGAAATATAAATATTATGCCCACCTATGTAGGCATCAAATTCAGATTTAAACAAAAGATTGTCAATAGTCAATAGAAGATAAGAAGCTAAAATTCACTCTATTTCACTCTATTGTATCACTTTTTAATTCTAAATTATCAAAATATCAAGATTATCTGTAAGATGATCTGTCTAAAGATATCTGAAAAGATCTTCTACATATGTAGATAGTTTTAGCAAGACAAGTTGGAAAAATCTAATTTATGTTACTTATAGTCAATCATACCGGCCAATTTAATAGCCTTAATAACATTTACAGAGACTACAATTTAGATCTCACCTTTTAGCAAAGTTTGCGATGCAAGAAAATTACATTCATTGAAAAAATTAAGATTTTGATGTCTTGCAGATTATAAATTGATGGAAAAAACTTTATTATTGTTTGTTACAAAAAAATCCTTAAGAATTAATAATATCTATGCCGTTTATTTATCGCTGAGATCATGAGATTTTATGCTTCAAATTATTTTCCTTGACGATATGAAAAATTTTTTCAACAATTACAACTTTATGACAAAATATTTACTGGCTCCAAATTGAACTCTTTGAATGGAATTTAGATACCTACATGAAATGATGTAAGCAGCACAAATAATAATTGGCAAAACTATTGAGGGCAAAAGTTTTTATATTAAAAAATAAATTATAGGAAAATTAATCTACAAAACTCTTTGAAGCTACTTCATGATGTTATGTACATAGTATGCATCTACCTAAGAATTATAACAAAAAATGAAATTGAAAACCATCTATTCATAAGTGAAATTGAAAAAAAAAAAAACATTTTTATTGTCGAAAGCAATTTTAAAAGCATAAAATCCAAGTTGAACTAAAGTAACACATCTATGACGGATAAGAACAAAAATTACAATATGAACAACAAGTCCGCCTATAGTCAACGAAATAAAAAAAAAGGCAGGGGTCTACGAAAAGTAGATATTTATTGTTTTGATTAGTAAATGTAATTAAATTCTAAGCTTTGGAAGTAAAAGCATTATTCCTATGCTGATAATTAAGAAACAGATACAAAATTAAAAGAAAATTTGCGAAACAACCGATTAAAAATTGAAATTGAGTGAAATAACCAGTAAATAACTGACATAATATAAAATTCAAAATTCTTAATTAGTATGATAGTATTATGCTAGTGTATGTATGAATGAACTTATATGTATATTTTTATTATTTGACACAAACCCACAAAAAGAGGAAAAAAACCTCCAAGTTTAAAAAATTTCAACTACAAAGTTGATTAAATTCAAACTTTCATAAATTAAATTTGCATGAACATGAAGCATAAAAATTATTCTTATATAGAGAACATTTACAATACAAATATAAAATTACTTAATTTAAAAGTCATGATTATAGAGAGTTTTATAAATGAGATTCTCTTTTTTTGTTATTAATTCACAAGCGAAACTTAATATTTTGTAACTATAGTCTAGAGAGAAACGGTACAAATATGCTATAAATTTATTGTTCTTTTCTTACTATACCTACATAAAAGTATTTAATGTTGATGGAGACGTTATTTTTTAAAAATATGAGAGTGTAGT